TATTTTATTGATGATTTTATCTTCACGAACCCTAGGGTTTTCCCGGCTGAGTGGCAGGCAGATCTTGTAGAACTTTAAGTAAAATATTGAAAATCTAAAATTTTATGATATGATAATAAAAAGTTATATTTTAATGACATAAACGATAAATGCCTCGATCGGACCCCCAAATCTTTATTATCCATAATTTAGATCTAATTTTATGATATAAAACTTGCGTGTAGGGTTTAAGCTTTGATTTGATATATAAACATATATACGTAAAAAAATTCTAAAATAAATTGTGAATTAATTTATAATGAACTGACTTGAAGGAAATAATTTTTTTGGCGATAAATATATAATTATTTATCATATGATTTAATTTGAGACATTAGGTTTAATTTAAATGTATCATTCATAAATATTTATATGATAACAAGACCTATAAAATGATGTCTTTTGCTTTGTAAAATCGAATAATTTTTAATTTTATGAACCTTAGCCTCTTAGTTAGGGTTGTTAAAAAGCCCGATTCGGGTCGATTTTTAAAACGACCTGATTAAGATTTTAGCCAAAATAATTATGTACGTATCGAGATTTTGCTCATAGATGGCAAAAAGGTTTGTACCTCTATTTTCCAAATCTCGAGGCTTTCATAATAGTATTTTGGAAATCTTAATTGGGTTTTTAAAAATCGACACGAATCGGGCCTTTTAATGACCCTATATAGCTTATTACATTTTGAGGAAAAAAAGTAACTTTTAAGCCCAATTATTTACATTTTAATTGTGCTCCCGTTTCGTTAATATCATATTTAAATCACATTGGGAGATGAGAACTACCATAAAATTAATAGTTAATATAAATCGTAAATTATCTAGGCTATCAAAAGATATAGAAACAAATTTTAAAAGTTTAATATATTAAATTTTATTTCATCTCTATTCATATCTTGCATGGATTTTTCCCATGTAAATTCCGTTTTAATAATAATAAAAATCCAACAATTACAAAAGAAATTTTATCTTATTTAAAAAAAAATAAAGAATGACATGATAAGACATAATGAAGATCAATATTTTAATATTTATATTATATAAATTTTAGAAGATAATGAATTTGATAATAAAAAGAATTTTAAGAATAACCTATAAAAATTTATAATGACTTGTTGATTTCTTATATAAGTTGGTTTTTTAAACATATCGCGACCCGACAATACGTCCCCATTATAATCTCTTTGTAATTTATATTTTATTTTAAATTTATCAATGTATATTAACCTTGATTAATTTATTAGTTTAAATTTTTTTATTACTGTTATATTAAAATTTATAAAAAGATTGTAAAAGATTTTCAAACATATAAATTTTTTTAAATAAAAATGAGGCAAATTAAAATTAATTATTAAATTGATCTTCTTCACCTTCGATAAAAATGATTAAAAAACATTATTATATTAAATAATACTGGATTTCTATTATTAATTAACATAACCTCTAAATCTAATATATTTTTCTATATAAAATTCAGACCCGATTCTAGTTTCGCCCATTGGGGGAGAGGCTGACAAAAATGGGGGAGGGGGCAGTTAAAAAAATTTCTTACCATGAACCAATATTTAAGTCATTTGATCACAAAATTGAAATATACGATTTTATTTGACACATACAAAAATATACAATGATTAAATATATTTATAAAATTACACGGAAGATAAGTTGACTTATAGCTGGAAAGAAATAAGTTTTTATTTATAGACTAATCATACAATAACGACATGTAAAGTAATTATCATAATTAGCACATAAAATGTGCCCATTCAAGTGATATTCAATAGCTAACTGATATGCAAATGCTCATATCTTGTTTATTTATAAAATTAAACAATTTCATTTTAATAATTACCAATACCAGTTCTATAGACTTATTATAATCATATAATTACTAAAATAAATTCAATTAAATTATAATTTTAATAGAGCTCAATTGAAATCTATTTCATAATTTTAATAATGCTTAATTCAAATAATTTGGTAACTTTAATAAAAATGCTCAATCAATTGATATATATAATGTATTCATAATTGTAAATAATGCTCAATTCAAATAATTTGGTAACTTTAATAAAAATGCTCAATTGAAATATATAATAATTAATATTAATTTAACGGCTTTATTATGGAAATATAAAATTAATTTCATAGTTTTATGATTATTTGAAATATAAATATATTACATAATTTTAATAATGGTAATTCAAATATAACTTGTTAACTTTATTAGTAATGCTAAATTGAATATATTTAATAGTTAAACTCAAATCAAATACTAACAATATAATTTAATTAATTGTTTAGGATTTAATTCCAAAATGACCTACTGGCTCCTAATATGTATTCACACAATCTATTCTTCTTCACTAGTAATATTCATTTTTATATCTTCTTCTCAACGTTGTATAAGGTATGTTATATTTTTAAGCAAATTAATTCAATGAATATTTTGTATTTTATAGTTGCATCATTTATACTTATATTACATCTCTAATTATGAGTTTTCTCATAATTTCTCATTATTTGATATAATATAAATTATATAAATAAATGAATGAAGATAATTATATATTTTAACCGTTTTACCCATAACTGCTTTACCCCAAGGTGACACATATTATAAATATCGTTATTGCGTGACTTTTAGCATAGATAAAGGTCAGATAAATTTTATTTTATAGCTAATACATTAAGGAAAATGTGCGCCAAATTTTAAATCCTGAGGTTATATATATTTTACTAAAAGCAAAATATACTTGAGAATAAATTTTATAATTTTGGGGTAAAAAAACAGTTTTTAGACAAATTATATAAAACCAGGTAAGTTTTTTCAAATATGAACATAGTTGAGAAATTAAATAAAAATACATCTCCACACCAAATTTAAAATCTTTGTGCTCAAGGGGTAACAAGTAATTCGCGTTAACATTTCAATCGCTTTACCCCAGTCTCTACATTCTTATTTTTAAAAAATTTTTAAAAAATTTATCAAAAATTTATTAAAAAAATATTCAAGAACCAAAAAAATTAAAAAAAAAATTTTTTGGGGAAGGGATGGGAGTCGCAATGGGCTTAGAATCGGGTCTGATAAATTGTTTTATATAGGGGAGCCTGGACCTAGTAAAATCGATTTTTGTAGAATCGGCTATAACTTTTAACTTTATTACAAATATTTTTATATAACCTCATATATATACTTATAAAATCTATCTTTTCTCTAAAAGCTAATTATACAACCCAACAAGTCTCCAAAGGTTGAGCTTTAGGTAATAAGAATTCAAAGGTTTTTTTATTTCTTATGAAGGATATTTGTAGAATAAATTTAATTTATTCAATCAAAATATTACAAAATAATAAAATTGAGCTCAATTTATAAATATATCAAAACATAATTTTAATTTATATTTGGGTATAAACCCAACATTAAACTATTCCCCTATTTAGCAGGTCCCAGCCCTACCAGCTCTAACCTAACTAGTCATTATTAAATATAATATCTGGGCACTATAAATGTTTCTTAAACTTTCTCAAATAATAAAAGAAGGTAAACTCTGCTATAAAATTTAATTTTTAAGTGAATAATATTTATATTTATAAATTCAAATATTGTCATTCTAGTAATTTAAATTTTGACATCGAAATCTTATTTATAATATATATAAAAAAAATTAATTAATTCAAAATATTTTTCCCCAATTTGGACAAAATTTATAAGTCCTAGTATATATTTAATTTTAAAATGTGATTAAATCCTTTGACATTCCACTGCTCTCGCCTAAATGAAGATACTAATCTAAAATAATCTTTAATTCGATGATCAGACCGGTTATTGGATTTGGGTATTGATATCAAATCTTAAAATAGTTTTTTTTATAAATTAATAGCATTTTCGAATAAATTAAGATTCAAAGTCACTCGTTATTATATATATTAATATACGTCTTTTTATTCGATATATTTATTTTGGGTATATGTTTTTCTTTATCTTTTAAAAAACATTTAATTTAAACAATTTTTTTAATTTAATAAAACATAATTTGAATCAAATTTTAAATTAAAATTATATTCTTTTTTTTCAATGCTTAATTTTAAATATTCAAAAAAAAACCTTCTTCCCCTTTTTCTTTTCCCTCTTCTCTTCCTTTCATTATATTTACGTTTATTACAATGATAAAATATATAACATGTTTGGCTTTTCAGTTGCATCCTACTTATTTTATCTGATTTACAAGGTTGTTTGGCATCCTTGAATAAAACGGCATATTTATACAGAGGACTCTGTTTAATTCACGTTCCCTCAGCACTGGGCAGATCTTAGACCAACGTGATAAGATTTTTTTAATAAAAACCTAAAGAAGCTGGAAAAAAAATGTGCTCAATTTTCCTCAGACTAATTTTGGCTATTTTTCTAGCTTACTTAAATATTGAAAAAAGGACCTTTTGGAAAAATTATAAGAGCTAGTGACCTCCACCCACATTGTCCTAAATTATTTTAAAAATCAGGTTATTAACATTGACTAAATAATTCGAAATTTTTTTTATATTTAAATTGTGTTCTTCTTGATAAATTTTTACATTTTTAAATATAAAACTTCAAAAAAAAAATTTTTTTTTTAAAACGACATTTAACAGATTTTTATTTTAGATAAAATGTTAAATATAGTTTGTAAATTTTATTTTAAAAATATATTTTTTTTTAGAAAATGAAATAAAATTTTTGAAAAGCAATTTTTTTTATCTGATTAAATTTTTAATGTTGAAAACAAAATATTGTAAAGGGAGATTTTTATTTTGTGTAAATTAGAAAATTTTGAAAAATAATATATAAAAAAATTGATTTTTGGTTCAGTAAAAAGATTATACTTTTAAAAAAAGTCAAAAAATATTAAACTTAATTTTTATGAGAATGTCGAATAATCTAAATATAAAAAAAATCTATTCAAAACAACAAAATATCAAAAGAAAAAACAGAGACTAATTCAGAAAATTTGATTAGCCACGATGATAAGAATGAGAGACCTAATAATTTGAAAATTGATGATGAAGGGTATAACAACGATCTAAATAGAGATGACGCAAGCGACGAAGAGCAAAATAGATTGAGGCTAAAACGCAAATTGCAAAGGAACAGAACATCTTTTACGAATGAACAGATCGAAGCACTCGAAATAGGTATATTTAAGGAGTTAGAGAGAAAAAAATTAGTTTTAACTAGTGTATAATTTTAAATTCATATAGAGCCAATGTAGGTTTTTTAAATTTTAAAGTTTTTTTTTAGAATTCGAAAGAACTCATTACCCAGATGTATTTGCTAGGGAAAAATTGGCATCCAAGATTGAGTTACCAGAGCCCAGGATTCAGGTATACATAATATATTATATATAGCTTTATAAAACATAATATAGGATTAATTTATTTCTATCTTTAAATTTTATATATTTTGAAGGTCTGGTTTTCGAATAGAAGGGCTAAATGGAGAAGAGAAGAAAAATTGAAAAATAAATTAACAACTTACCCTAACATCCAGGAGAGCAAGCCTAATTATATTTTTGGATCATCTTTACCTTACCATTCGATGGAATACGATGACCGTACCCCTAATGAGTCAATATTCCTACCCAATTCTTTGTCTAGACAAGATAAAAATATACCCAAGGCGTTAATTGCTCAAAGCGATAGTACAAATACCTCATATGCGCTCAACATAAAATCAACGTTGCAGCATCCTTACCCTCAAATAAAAAGTTGGGCTAACACCGATAAACCCCCAATAAATTATGAGATAAACTTTTATCACAATCCCTTAATATACAATTACAACCTGCAGTCTCAGACCTTACCTCAAACCCAATCAACAAAAAAATCTCTAAGTACTACCGCTGATGAATATTATTTGGATTATAATCGTGACCTTAATGATGAGTCATTTAGAAACAATGAGCGAAATCCACTCAATAACCATCACTATCATTATCATCATCATTATTACAATGTAAAACAAAAGGATAATCAAAATTTCTTTCTTGAAAACACTGGCGAAACGGGAAACAAATCCCTAATGGCATATAATTACAATTCTTTGAATGATGGATTAGGTTCTATGGGATCCAAAAAACCTGAAAATTCAGTTACTAAAGATAGATGCGTATCAAGCTCAAAAGATTCTCTAGATAATCTAAACATGAAAACATTTCTTATGTCTAAACAATCCGATATGGAAGATGGTCGCGTCCATACGTCTAAGTAAATAAGCAAATGTATTTAACGTTGTTTATTATATAGTCAAAATTTTCTACATATAATTTAATTATTTCTGTTTTAGATTAATCAAAATGTCTTCCAAAAATGTCAAAAAATTATTACTCTCTCAAAGTAATTTTTACGAATCCAAATCTATAAAAGATATTCAAGATAATTACGATAATAATAATAATAACATACACAAGAAGAGTTCTGGCGAAGAACCAAAATCTGATATATTGTTAAGCAATTTAAATGATCTTCAAAACCTGCCTGAACAAAATGTGATAGCTCAACAATCCAAACATTTGATGCTTAATTTTCCTTGTGACAACACTCCTTATTCAGTTTGCAATGTCAACCCATTTAATAACCAATCGTTTAACAATTCTCAATTACAGAACTTCTTTTACCCTGACGGTTTAGAATATTACAACCCTCCCATTTCTTTGCCTTATGATCCTTCCAAATACTATAATTTCGGAGAAAACCAAATACCTTCCTTTTACTAAAAAATTTTAAGTTTGAATCCGTGGTGTGAATTTTTCCTTCCCAAATATTTTTGTTAACCCTCCCCTTCCCCCTTCTCCTAATCACCATCAACCTGCACATAATAGTTCCGACATTTTCTGTTTTTATTTAAATATAATAATATATATAAAATAAATATGTTTTAATAAGCTCGAAAATTTATAATTTATTATATAATGGGGCTTAAGTTGCAATCCCTCACAATAATATTCATAAAAATCAACAATTACTAATTATTTTAAATTAAATAATCTTATCGTTTTTTTAAATTTAAATAATATATAATTATATTTATATTTATATTGGCTGCAATAAAATTCTTCGTATTTGATTATTATATGATGTGTGTGCCAAAATATGATATTATTATTTTTATGGGAGGGGATAATTTTTCTATATTCTATTTTTATTGGATAAGTCAATTTTTCATTTTTGTTTTGATAGATAAGGTAAGTTTTATAGAGGAATGGCCATTCTAGGTCGGTGAGGCAGGTAGCCCAGCCCTTGGGTTGGGCAAAATGATTTCTGGGCCAGACAATTGTCTAAAATATTTAATCCGAAAAAGTTATATTGGCCGGTTCGGGTCTTTCCGCTCTAATCTATAATGACCATAATATTACGAGAGATAATAAGAAATCTAATTTTAAACCTTGTAATATTTTTGACTGGGTAACGATCAATTTAAAATGCAATAACTCCTATATTTAATATTCCATTAACCCTAACACGAACCGTTACCTATTCTAACCCTAATCTTTTCTAGGAGAATAATAAATATTTTTTAACGCATTTATCCATTCCTGGTTTTAGTGATATTCCATATAAAACCATTTGTACAAGAAATAGATTAAAATATTATAGAAGTCGAATAAATTTGTTTTATACCTGTTGCCTTTGATTTTTTTAAAAATCATATTTAAAAAAATCATAATTTATTAACTAAATATACACATATTAATATGGAAATATATTATAAATATTGTATAATTTAGGTTAAATGCAAGATTTATATAAAAAAAGAGTATATATTATTATATAATATATCAAACTGAATTAAAACTTATAAGAATTTCAAAATTCTTTTATCTTAAAGAAAATTACGATTTTGCCGATATCATCTTGAAATGCGCGCGGCTCTTGTTTGATGGGTGTATAAGTGGAAATATACATTCAAATATTTAATATGTATAATGAATAAATTTAATTAATTATGCTTATAAAATATAAAATCTTCTACATTTTTAAATTCTTGAGTTTTAAAAGACATTTAATTATTTTTTTATAGGAAAAATATCGCTAAAACTTACTTTATTTTATAGCAAATTCAAAAAAATAATAAGAAAAATGTAAGCTTTATATATGTAACTACATGTAATGTCTTATATATATATACGTTTATTGTCTGAAATTTATATCGTAGACTGGGGATAGCAGAACCAATAATCGGCTATAACTCCTGTAATTTTTTAGATATTATAAAGAACAATTTATAAATCGACGTCTATAACTATATTCAATAAAAATGCATTATAAATATTTATGAAAATATAATCATATTTTTGAAATTTTATTTTTTGCAAAAGTTAAAATTTTGTCCAACAAACCCCAATAACGGGGTAGGCAAACCACTGCAAGGGGCTTCCTAAATCATTAGCTTTTCTTTTAGTCTCTAATGAATTGAAATGCATTTTATTTATTAATAATGATATGTAGATTTTTTTCTTTCTTTATTATTCTATTATTCAAAATATCATAACACTTTTATATTGAAGTTAATTAGGAGAAACTGGGGTTAGTCGAACCGATTTTTATAAAATTGGCTATAGCTTCGAGTTTTTTTTGATAATATAAAAAGTTATATATGATTATATGTCTTAAATAATTTAAGAATATAATCATTTTTATTTTTTGTAAAAGTGAAGATTAGGGGCTTCCTAATCCTTTGGGTTTTTTAGGCCATAATAAATTGAAATGCATTTTTATTTATTACTAATGATACGTATAGAATAATTTTATTGATATATTGTTCAAAATATCATAATACTTATAAATTGAAGCTCTTATATATAAAAAATGGAAACTTAATTTTGGTTAATTTAATAAACATTTTGGAAGAGAATCTTAAGGAGAGATATGATCTCTTACCATAAATCCTAAATACCAATCATAAACAGCCATGAAATTGCTTTTTCAAGATTTTGAAATTTTTTCATTATTAACTGCCATATTACGTGTATAGTTTAGAAAGCCCCGCTAGCTCTAGATTGGCAAATCATGATTGAAATAATATCTAGATATAATAAATACTCAAAAAACTTTCCTAAATTATAGAAGAATTTTTAAACTTTGCTATAAACTTTAATTTATTTATAAATGTTTATATATAGTAAAAATTAAAATTCCGTCATATAAAAATCTTTGGAAAATTTTTAATAATGAATAATTTCAAAAGATTTTTTGCATAGATGTAAACTAATTATTAAGATAAATTTTTAACCTTCTGGTGTTAATTTTAAAATGAAATTAAATGGTTTGCCAAGCCCCGTGATCTAACCTGAGTTTCCCCTATATCTAAAAATCGAAACTTAATTTTGGTTAATTTAATATTGTGCATATAAAAATAAGGATCTCAAGGAGAGATTATAATAGAATAAATCCGCAATCATACACAGCCATAAATTTTCTTTCCAAGATATTTGAAATTTTTTTCCATTATTAACTGCCATAATTGATTGACATATATGGTTTAGCAAACCTCGCTAGCTCTAAATTGACTAATCATAATTGAAATAATATCTAGACAAAATAAATACTCATAAAACTTTCTCAAATAATAAAAGTAAGTTAAAACTTTGTTATAAAATTTAATTTATATATAAATGATTTAATAACCTAATAAAAATTCTATCATGTAAAAATTTTTGAATTTTATCTCAAAATTTTAAATCTTAAATAAACTTTTTAATAATAAATTATTTTAAAGATTTTTTTACCTATAGATGCACACTAATAATAAATGCTATATATTAGGATAAAATTTAAACCTTCTAGTCTATTTAATTTTAAAATGAGATTAAGTGGTTTACCTAGCCTCAGTCTCCCATATATATTCTGGTATAATATTTTAAATTAATCAAGCTAACTAAGCAATAGCCATTGTTTTTTTTTTTACTTGAAATTCTAAAATATTTTCCTGTACTGTATGTATGAAATAATTTTCAGATTTTGAATTTTATTTGTCTGATATAATGTATTGGCTATAGATGAACCCATTAAATCAGGCACTGTATACTATATATAAAATTTAAAAAAATATAGTGGTAGATTTGAAGAAAAGGCTTGTGTCAAAATAGGAATGCCAGAGCGGAAATTATATGGGCATTAAATATCTTCATTGCACTAAAATTTAATGCCCGATTAACAAATCCATCAATTAATTTTATCTGCCACAAAACAGAAATAAGGGTTTTAACAAAATAAAATTTACAAAATCACCCTTTGGTTAGGTCTCTAGATCAATTATATCAGTTGGATGTCTTTTTCCACAATTCAAAAATTTTAAATCTCATGATTTTTACGATCACGGATATATTATTTGTTTTTTTCTTCTGTATTATTATTTAAAAAATCTCATAATATTTTGATAAAATGCAGCTTAGCATAAAGCTTGCCAAAATTTTGAAAGCATTAATTCGAAAACAAGCTAATAATGCAACATGTAATATTTAATTTAATTATTAATCCGTTTGGTAGACAGACAGTACAAATAAAAAAGTTATTAGCAAAATGAAAATTTCGAAGATTGGCACCAAGATTCAATATAGAATGAAAAATATGGAAACTACATTGCACACCATTAAATTGAATTTGTACATAATAAATTACTACCATTAAAATTTGGGAAGCTATCTGTATTTTTCTAAATAATTTATAACAAATTTTATTAAAAAATTAAATGTACCTAACTTCTAAGACCTATATAGTAATCAGAGACCTGTAGACTCAGTCCGGCGCCGTATTTTTATATCCAGACCCCTATAAAGTTTTAATACACGGGATGGGCCTAAAAAATTTTTTTTAAATACCCAGGACGGGCTGGGCCGTACATTTTAAAACCAAATATTTTAAATCGCCATTATCCAATAAAAAAATTAAAAATAAATAAAATATATTTTGAAAAAAATCCGGTCCGGACCTGAAGCTTTTTTCAGAAATAACACTAGCCGTGCAAATGGTACCTCTGCAGGTTTCTGATAAAAATAGAAGAAAATTAAGGAGAAAGTTTTATTTAAAATAAATATATTATGAAAGCTAATTTTATTCCTATCAAATTTTCCATAGGGGGCAATAAAACCTATAATATTTTAAATGGAGAGGAAGGAGGGGGTTTATCCATCCTCTTGTCCACACACTATAAGTTTAATTAAAATTATTTTAAATTATAGAAGATATTATAACAAATATTATAACGAAATTGTAAAAGTCGCTTGATCTCTTATCAATTATCAATCAGCTTATATTTTTATACATTGAATGATATTTTGTGTAAATGTACTTTTTCAAATTTACCCCCCCCCCCCCATTTTCCGCCACTATTTTTTAAGGTAATAATTTTTATTTTAAAAAAATTTGCTTATATGGGAATAGAATTTTTAAAATATGATTTTAATTCTTTCGTAAGAACAATATTTTTATATTTTCTTAATTTTAACAATATTTTTTTTCCAACAAGTATAAAAAAACTGTTAACAGCAATAAATTATATTGAATGAATTCCCAGAGGAGTTAATTAGTTATAATATTTTTTTCATATTTATGAAATATTTTGCTCAAACATTGATTTTTAAATAAAATTAAATTAAATTAACATATTTGAGTGTTTATGTTATAATAATAGTTCTTATATTTAAAAGAGGCCGGGGATAACTGGCCATGTTTTGCTTGTGATAGATAAAAGATTTAAATGTTGCTTTCAATTAAACAATTTAGTACTACTAATAAAATTTATATATAATATAAGAAATTTTAAAGATAATTTTCAGTATTTAATATATTAATTTCTCATATTTTACTTTAGATTATATTTGCTAATTTTTATTTTAGATTTGATGGGTACTCTTAAATTTATATTTAATTATAATATTATTTTATTATATATTTAGATTGATCATGTCTAATCTTAGATCTCCAGAAAATATAGGACTCATTTTTACAAACAAAAAGCTTAAAATAAAAATGACTGTATTGTAATTAAAAATACTTCAATTTAGAATACAATTTCCTCAACTCAACAAAAATCGCAATTGATATTTCTAAGTTCAGTGTAAAATATTAAACAACAATATAAATGACAATGTATATATTAAATTTAAATTATAACCCCACAAATAATATTGTTATTGATAATGATAGAATAACTTCCTATTATAATATTTCCAAAAAATCCATAAATCGCAAACAAAACAATATGATAAAATATATTGATGGCGTATCACCTGAGGAGCAAAATAAACTAGAAATTTAATTTGCAGCTACATTTACATCTAACCTATTTCTATAACTCAATGCGTGTTAAAAAATAATTTCAATCTTTAAAACCGGCATTCAAAATTACCTCAAGATATTTACTTAGTAAACATCTTTAAACAGAGAACATATTAAGAACAGTGGGATTTGGTAAAAATGAAAATTTGACTCTCCTTAGTGATGAATGGATCAATATAAAAGCTGAATGCATCATAAATTTTATTATAAAAACCCCAAACCCCGTATTCTATAATTCATTTGAAATAGGGACTAATTAAAGGTGAATATATATTTAACAAATTTATTAAAGTAATAGAGATTGACACAATTATAACAGATAATGACAGTAATATCAAAAAGGCATGGAGACTAGTAAGAATTAAATATCCAACGATTGAATGCGCAGCCCATGGACTGCTTTTAATGGACATATCAAATAAAATCTTACCAAATAAATTTTAGTTGCAAAGGTTTAAAGTATCATAAAATATGTAAAGTCTAATGACATTCTTTTATCGACATTTAAGGATTAACAACTCCTTAGAGATAAAAATAAATTTATCTCCTTAAAGTTGCCTAACCTAACTCGTTGAGCGGGTATAGTTTTGATGATAAATAGACTTTTAAAAAAGGAGATATTCTACAGGAAGTCACACTACTCAATATTTTACAAATAAAAATATATCTGCTTAATAATGAATGTTTTTTAAATGATCACAATAAATCTTATAGCAAAATGGTGCAGGATAACTAAGCGTTCTTCACAGTTATACGATTTTATAAAAGCTATTTCTACACAAATAGAGATAGTGGAAGCAAATAAATCCAATCTATCTGACGTTCCCTCAGGTTTTTATTTATATTAGGGAGATATTTAACTATTATAAAACTATATCAAAATTCTTGCCGAGTAAAATTATAGAGATCGAAAAATTTATAAAAAACCGGAAAAAATATTGTTGACGGGAAATATATTAAGCAGATCATATATTTGATCCTACATATTGTTGATTAAACTTAAAAGACAATAACTTTTCTAAAAAGTTATATGTTCTCAACCGTGAATAATTAGACTAAGATATTAGATGAGTAGTGGAAAATCTTACAAAATATAATGTTAAAGAAGATTTTTTGGTATAGAAATTCTTTGGGAAGGAGTGTCATTTACAAATCGGTTGACTTGGTGAAAAGGTTAAATACTTTTTTATATTTTAATAAACAATAACTTATTTCTTTTTTTAACAAATTTTATTCTTCAATATTTTATTAGATTTATGTTTCATTCAATATATATCGACACTAGCCATAAGAGTTTTACCAATGCCGCTAGCTAATGCTGCGTCGGAAAGAATTTGGTCGTCCTTTGGAAATCCTACAAAATCTCGAAATAGGATTTTTTTAAAATGATTAGGTCAGGAAACTGATGATTATAAAAGCAAATCTGCATTTTATGGGAAAAGAAAAGCAACTCTAGCAAGTGATAGATTATTCGATTTAGATGTTCATACTTTATGGAATCGTTTTCAACTTCATACAAATATAACGAACAAAATAATTAAAATTATATCATATTTGTTTAAATAATATGTTAATAGACTATATATTTTGAATAAAACAATAAATCAATATTGGCCTATAAAATATTTTAAAAGAAAAATTTCCTGGATTTTCCCGTTATTCCCTATTTTTCCATTTTTACTTAAATTATTCGGGATTCATTAATTATAGTTTCTCGGTAAATTTACAATGATATAACTATACATTTGGATAAATATTCAGACAAAGTTATCCAATATTTAAGAGATTACCTAATTTTTAAAGACAACTATTCGGATAGGTTTTTAATAAGATATAGGTATAATATTAATTACAATTGAGAGAATTTAATTTAAATGGGTAGTATAAAAATCATTTAGTATGTTTTTTAAATTTTTATCTCAAATAAACCAATAAATCTAATGATTTGTCAGATAATTTCTATCTAATTTAAGTGCAGAGATACTGGAAAATCTCTTAGAAAATCTGTTGAAGTAGGTTTTATCTAACAAATTGCATCGTACAATTTCTGAAGATTTCTCTTACACGTTTTTTCCTGTAATTTTAAATAAAGTTAACTCATGCTTAAATTTGTTGAAATAACGTTTTTCCTGTAAAAAAAGAAAGAAAGAGAGATCGGTAAACTACAAATTCTGTGGGTAAAATTCCCTTTATATAAGTTTTGATATATTTTCTTATGTTAAAAACAAGTCATCATAATAATTATGACAATCATACAACCAACTACGCCAACCGGGATAATTGAGATTTACCAAACCAACTACTTCAGCTACTTATCCTTTAATCAGAAATGACAATGACGTTATAAAATTAATTAAATATTTGTATCATTTATTATATTATTCATCTTTTATTTTATATTGTTAACAAAAAAACATTTTTATATTTAATAAAAATTACATTGAATATTTTTCCTTTTTAGTAATAAATGAAATATTTTAAATCATCTATTAAATAGTTTCATGATATCTGACTTCAAATCACCAACCGACCCTTTATTAGATTGTGCAATTATTAAATGAAAATAAAGTATCCCAGTAAAAACTCCTTTTCCATTATTTATTAATCATCTCCTAATTTAAAATTCTCATGTCGATACTACTATCTACCCCTCCCCATTCAATACAACTACTCCAGTCCCACAACATCTTAGGAGGTGACAAATAGTTGGAGTCTCTTCTCAGTCAACCTTGGCAATCTCTTATCACAAGAACAATTGTTAGTAGCTATAGGTTTACGATAAGATATAACATAGTCCCATAATTGTATAGTACCTCTAAGGAGAGACATGAACTTAACAGTTTATATAGTCAAGGTCAACACCTATGTTATACCTCAATAAAATAACAAGTGGGGACCTAAAAACAGATCAGACAATTCTTTAACTTATAATTGGGATTTAATATGTTACCTTTCAATTGTAATTAAAAAACATCGAGATAGAACAAAATAAATGCATTTTGCAATAATTTTATTTTGTTATATGTATATTTTCTATAAACAATTTGATTTTTTAAAATCATTTAATTAATAAAAAAAATTAATTAAAATGTGTCATCCCAAAATTATCAATATTGAATATTGATATATTATTCTATTTGTTTAGAAAAATTTAACCCAGCCTATGAACCTTAATCTGAATTGCTCCTGCGACATATTTAATTTTTAAAGCATTAGTTAATTTCATTATTTTTTTTAATTATCATTTGAGATATGAATAATATTTACTTTATTTTACATTGAAATTTGCTAATTTAGAAAAAAAAAATTTCCTATATCTTAGGAAGATAAATCTGAATAATATGTATATTTCACTTTCTAGTAAATAAAATAAAGCAGTGGAAAAAATAGTAGCATATGAAAATATAGCATAAAAATTTGAAGAATAATTTAGACTACAGACTTGGTATGGTCTCTTTTAGCTTTACGAGTTTAATTTATTTTTCAGAAATTACATATAATTTCTTTCTTTTAAATAATAAATAAACATGAATAGTTCTAAGTAATTTTCTTTATCAATTTTATCAATTATGTATTTATTGCCAAGACGAATTTTTTCATAATGATTGGATTGTCTATCGTTTGTTTTAAATCAAAGCTGTCTTGCTCATTATTAGTTGAAGAAATTTAACGATAATGTTTCCATAATTGATGGGTCGTTTCTACAAAATTTAATAAATTCTTCCTTAGATATCTTTCCGTCTTTGTTCTAATAAAGAAATGAACAAATATTCAAATAAATTTTAAAACTTTTAACATGATTCCTAGTGCTTATAATATACCGATTCTTTAAATAATATGGGGGGGGGGGGGGGTATTATTTATATTTTATCATAAGGATTAAATTGTGGTTAACATAGAGGTTTCTAATGGGCAGGCTGGTTTTATATTTTACTTGCTGAAAGGGCGGAATAAATAAAGAACCAAACCAGCTTAGGGTGGCAGTAATAAACATTTTAAACAAATGGAAGTGCAGTCTTAATGCTGTGGTTAAAAACATTTTAAAACGGCCGGAGGGTGGACAAGTTGATTTATTTTTTTCTTGAATGAATAGAATTATATTATTATTTCATATTGTTGCATGTTATATAAGTTTCAGTTAAAATTTATTAAGATAAAAAATAAAGAGCCTAGCCAACTAAATTATTTTACTAATATTGGGTTGATGAGCTAAACAAAATATTTAAATAAATAAGTGGGCGGGTAATTTTTTAAACTAAGTAGGGTAACCGGTAAGGGGTAATATGCGGAGAGCTACCCCCCCCCCTCCCAACATTTTAGACTTTAAAACTCGCGTTTTATTTGGAAAACACCTATAATTATTATGTTCTTAACATAGTTATACCTATAGTTGGGTAATGCTATATGTCGGTTAATTCAGCTCAATCTTCCGGAGCTTACGTTAAAATCCGTTAACATTAAGGCGTTTTAATCTACATTAGTTTTTTCCAAATTTAAGATGCTATCTTTTAAAAAAAAAACCCCAGGCCAAAGTGACTTTCGGCTAAAAACTTGGTTTAGCCGATTTTTTAGCCGGCTAAAAATTAGCTTAAACGGCTAAAAATATAGTTATTACCCAACTTTAATTATAACCAAGGGCATTAATAGCCTTTACAATACAATCTCAGGGGACTCAAAAATTTTTTTTAAATTATATTAAAATTACCTTTTTTTAGCTAACATTATCTAAAAGTCTTTTTTTTAGCTAAATTATCGAACATTTTTTAGTTAGCATTATCGAAAATTACCTTTTACTTTTTAGGTATAAAAAAAAATTAAAAATTATTTTTAGGGGGCTAGAGCCCCTCGGCCTCTCCCATGGTGACGCTACTGGTCCATCACAACTCTATCATATTTAAGAAAAGAGAATCTGATTAATTTATATAAAATAATAGATTTTTATTATGTAACATAAAAATATGTGAATACATATATTTTGATTATCTTTTACATAAGAGTTTCTTTATAAGTAATGTATTGCAAAAATTACAGCCCCATGTAAAAATCCAAATTTTTATGAGGCCCTAACCTATAATTTGAGGCTACTTTGTATCTGCGAGAATATGGAATTTTCTATAAGTTTAAAGATATATTAGATTACATATATGTGTATGTAAGTATTTTTAAAAACTATGTGAGCCATAAATTTTAGTTTGGTTCTAAAAATTAAAAATAAACTAGTTATTTTTTTCCCCGTTAAAGTCAATTTTAATTTTATAATGTAGACTGTTAAGATATAACTTCTTATTATAAGAAATTTATTTAATATATATTTACTGTATCAATATCTCGAAATAGTATTTTAATTTTATCCTGGCTATTTTTCCTTTCTTTGTTGCCATGTCCTAACATATCATATATAGCCATAATTATTGACATCATTTCTTTTTGAGTTATATAATTGTCCCTATTTAAATCGTACATACTGAAGGCCCCTAAGATAATTAAAGTAACCCATTTAAAATCAAATTGCCAAAGTTGTATAGAAATTTTCGAGATGTACAGATAAATTAATATATATAATTATGATAGTTTAGAATGTTAATTATGTATTTTTTTTTAAACAATCATAAAATTAACAATAAATTATTTACAATCTAACTTTTCTTCACTGGTTCCCCTGGATATGATTGACAATGACAATATAAATTCCCTAAAATTTAAGTACCCATCCTAAAATTTTATTATATTTAAATTTAAAAAAAAAATACAAATAAATAATTTCTATTAAATTAGATTGTATAATCAGGCCTGCAGGCAAAACTAAGGCTATTAAAGCGTTTTGAGCGTTAGGTCTCGTTTATAGTAAGCGCGTATCACTCAAGCGATGCAGCACACATCGCTGGGTAGTTTTCAAATGCAAGCGAACAATAGGAAAATTCTTTAATAACCGCACAATGCGATAAAATAAATTAAATCGTTATAAATTATAAATTTTACCTATCAATTGCTTGCTTTTAAAAATACCCAACGATGTCTCACTCTATTCTTAACCAATACGCGCTTACTAACGACTTAGTTGTAATGTTAAAAGATAGCAAGCCAAAAATCGATCGTTGAAAAATAACTTTTTAAAAATTTAAGATATTTTAAAGACCTTTATAATATTTTTATATAGACCGAGCAGCGCCTAATTTTTAAAAAGGGCCGAACTGTTTTATAAACCAAATATTTAAATCGCCATTATTAGCTATAAAAATTAAAAATAAATACAATATTTTTTAAAAAATCCGAGCCGGGCCGGGCCGTGCAAATGATACTTCTTAAGGTCTCTGGGATATTTCGAGGATTTACATATTAAATTTTTTATCGTCTTCTTATATAGTTTTAATTTCTAATATTTCCATATTTTAAAGTATAATGGATGTGATATTTTATATTTTTAAAACTACTCTATGTAAGCTTTATAAATATCAGTTACTTGCAAAGGTACCATTAGCACGGCTCTACCCGGCCCAGATTTTAAAATTTTTTTGGCCTGGTCAGGGTTTATAGGCCAGGCCCGGATTTTAAAAAATAACTTATTATACATTTTACAGACGTTTATCAGCGAATATGAATTCTATATATATAATAATATTTTAAATTATTTTATCTCCCCTTTTGTAGTAAAAGATGTGAATTTGAATCACCGCATTTATTATTCGACTGGTCGATAGTAATCCCCTTATTTCCTGTTGCCCTTGTAATTTAATATAGTCTTTTTTATAAGTAACGGTCATTTTGCGCCTTTTATCTGGCAACATATGTACTTTGAATTTGAAACAGAGAAAAAGGGAGATAAAATGATACTTATCTAAAATATATTTTCCTTAAAAAGTATATTATATTTTGAATGAGTATATCTTTGTTTTTAATTTGATTGAATTTTACCTAGAATGATTAATTGTATAATTAATTTGAATTATTTTCTAAGAATCGAAAAAATTGAAATAGGAAATATGATAAGTGAATGAATGTGATATATTGTTCTATGATACACAATTTTTAAATATATTTTATTCATCTTTTTTAGATTATAATAATGACGATTTTAAATATTCAGCTTTAAAATATTCGGCCTGTCTGAGTATTTTTTTAAAAGAATTCTTAGGCCCGGCCCGGTTATATATTTAAAAAAAATACGGCCCATCTGTGTACCCGGTCCGGGTCTGTAAGTCTTTAAAAATTTATAGTTAATTTTTCATTATAATGACTTACCAAACTCAATTTCTCAAACATCCGAACTATATTGTATGTAATAAAACTAAGGCTTCGTTTATAGTATCGCGATATCATTTCAAGATATGGGCAATGTTTTGCTAAGCGATACCATAGCTGTAAAATTTAATACTATGTATTTCGTTCGCGATGCCACAATATTTTCGTTGTTATTATAAGCGAAGCCTGCATGCCGCATTCATAGTAATCAAAATGCAACCTGATATAACAGCTAATCGAGTTTAATATTTTTTTAATATGATCATTTTTTTATTAATATTTAATTCTTGATTTTTTTATAATTAATAAAATTAAATCTAAAGTTATACTAGAAAAATGTTCTGAGTATAAGATTTTATAAACTCGATCTGTTCTCATTTTGCGGTTGATCGCCTTAACTATAAATGAGACTTAATGATAGATTAAAATTATTTATCTTAAAAATAAGATAACTTTGTTTTCGTCGAAAACGTCGAAAATGATTTCGGAAAATTGCGTCGAATTACCTTCGGGAAAAAATTGTGTGTACATTTTTTGAAATTCCTAAAAAAAATAATAACTAATATATTAACTTCCTAGATTAATAAACAATTTAACTCAATTTATTTGAAACACATTTTAATATTGTTTATACTTTATTTATTTAAATTATAAATAGGAAAAAAATTCAATATATTTGCTTAATTTTTAATTTGGCGAAAGTTAACTCATTCCAATTAAAATATTAATTTTAATTCCTTTTATATATTTTATTATTTTGTTACCTTCTTTACCTTCACTATATTTCAAAATTAAATAGATTTGAAGAAAGAGATATTGGGTATGTTTATTATGTAGTCTATATGCTAAGTACTGTTGGGGAGAATGACTTGATAAGTATGGGTAGGGTAGTAAGGTTTAGATATTCTTGAATTAGTTTAGAGAAATGTGAAACAAAAACAAACAAGAGAAGAATTACGCAAAAGATTTGGGATAGATGTGATAAGTGAATAGGTTAAGATAGTTTGGACATGTTGAACAAAAGGTCACCGAAGATTGGATATACCCAAATAAATAGAAGGGAAACCCAAAGGAGACCAAAAACAATATAGATGTGGTGAGTATGGATCAAAAGACTGCGTAATATGAAAGAAAGCTGTTTAAATTTCCTTTTATCTATACATCAGATGAGCGGTTTGATTTCAACAATTAATAAGGTCCAACCCCAATTTTTTTTTACAAGGTTGACTACCCCATCTCACAAGAAAATATTATAAAATACAATGAATTATTACCGAACACGAAGACTATGTGATTAAAGGGCTTCCATCAAAGTAGTTAGTGATTCCTGACAGAGTTGGCAAGGAATCAAATAATATTTATAAGAAAACTCAATATGGAATCATAATGCTCACATCGATGTTTTATTTAAATTCAGTTTTCCAAATAAAATTTTTTTTCATTAATCTGCAAATTTATTACAAAAAATACTTTTTGGAATTTTTTGGAAGGGTAGCCATTTTGAGAATGTGGATTCTTATATCCGTCAGCATGGGCTTATCCCTTGTTATCGAAAATATCACAAAATAAAGAAAATATTTGATGAATACAATATAAATTCCTTTATCGATGAAAAATATTCGCATTGTTAAAGTGGTTACATTTTTTTAAAAATAACTGTAATTGGTTACCTTTGAAATGATGTAACTAGCAACTGTAACTAGTTATATTTTCTGAAATGTAACTACAAAAGTAATTAGTTACTTTTCAAAATATGTTAAGTAGTATATATATATATATATCTCTTATTATCTTTATATGATAATTTCCGAAAATCGAAATTACTTTTATTATTCGAACTAATACGAGTAAATAAATTTGTTTTTGAATGGTCATAATATAGTGAAAAACTAGCAAAAATTAGTTAAACTTAATATTTTACGAGAAATAAATATTTTATTGCATTATTTATATATTTTTTTGAGTGCGTGTTATTTATATATCTTTTTCGGTGCAAATATATATACTATGATACTTTTTCAATAAAATATTTCAGTAAAGTTATTTCTATAATTAAATCATGTTTTCATTTAATCCTTTGATTAAAATTTTGTATTAATAAAAAAATTATACTAAAAAAATGATAAGTTATATAAATTATTTAGAAGTACTATCTGTAATTAGTTACTTTTCAAATTTAACAGTAACTGGTAACTTTTTAAATAATGTAATGTAATTAATAAATGTAACTATGACCTTTATGTAACTTTTAACAACACTAAAAAATATTATCAATATTTTTGAAGGAAGTGAAGTATATTATTAGATTGGAATTAGTTAACTTCAGCCTTTAGCTTAGCATAACCTAAATTACTATTCACTAATTTAAATTTTAACGTGATATATGTACAAATAATTTTATAAATTTACACTAACTTTTTTGTGTAATTTACCATCTGGGCATTCTCTGATATAATTTTCGTACCTATTTTTATATAAAATTAGAATTTCATTTGTTTTAATAGTCCCTTTCAATATGAAAATATTGAATAAAAAATATATATTAATGTATAATTTTTATATGTTCAAATTATTATATATTCAAATTATTATATGTTCAAATTATAATATATATATACTTTATGTTAATTTTTTTTAGATATATAGGATTTTGCAAGAGTTAAAAATTAAGTTGTGCTCAATTCAAAATGGCAGGCCAGTCAAGCCAAAAAAATGTTTTCAGCTCATCTGAATATTCAAAAAATATATAATGTTTTTTAAGTTGATTTTTTATAAAATTTGCAATTCAAATATTTGAAAGTAGGATTGCCATTAAGATTATCACTTTCATTATTTAAGCATAATTAGATTCTGTTTTAGTTTTATAAACCTTTTTGTTTTCGTTTAAAATTATATTTTTTAAAAAATCATTTTGAAATAAGGAAAATAAGTTATAGAACTCTCTATAAGAATAACATTTGCATAATTATCACGTCGGAGAAAATATATAAGGGCATCATTCTAATACCTAAATCATTTTTATTTTACCCAAAAAAGGAAACCCTTGACCGAGATAATATGAACCTTTGTATTATTTTTTAAAGTACCCATTATAGCTGAGTGAATTTTACACTTGCAATTTTTTTCATAATAAAATTTGAAAGATATTTAAACTAAAAGTAAAAACACAATTTTAAACTAAATTTAAACTTTTTATAACGATAAAAAAGCCATTAGAGCCAATATGGCCTGAGTTGTGTTTCCCCTACGATTACACTATTGATATTTAGAAATAAATCTGAACCCTAATAATAATGTTTTAACAAAAAAATTCGAGTGAAATGTATATAGGAATGGCTCAATTAATTTTTAAAAAATGAAATATTTCATTATACTCAAATCCTGTGTTTTATTTTTAATTATTTATAATAAATTTACCATTCATTGATTTCCTTTCTGTTGACTTGTAAATATAAAAAAAATATTTTTAAAAAAAAGATCATTAAAACAAATATATAATATTTGACTTTTTTTAAAAAAAGAAGATAATGTATTTTAACCAGAATCGTTTATAAAAGAAAAGACTAAAGTTAATAATGCAAGTAGAACGAAATCATCAAAGATTACCAAAATTTACATTCTAAAATTTAATCACATGATTAACTTAGGAATATAAAATAATAATCCATTCCTATCAGGTCAATTCAGAGAAACGTTTACTAAGAAACTATTAGCAAAAATTTTATCGCAAAGGAATTTTAAAGCAAAAGTAGTATTGCTAAACCAATTCCATGCATTATCCGGTCAAATATTTACAGCGGAGACAATATTGCGAACCTATTATAGCTAATTTGTTTCCACATTTTTTGCATGCATTCCAAGTATTTTTTTTTACATAATGTACATAGATATAACTTTCTGATATAATAACATTCTGATTCAAGATTTTGGCCACCCCCCTTCTGACTTTTCCCCATTTTAATAAATAAAAATAACAGCAAAGTTATGATTAAAAATAATTTCAAAATATTTTATTAGATAAGATAAGTTTGTCATGGCTTCTAAAGAAGGAGGGAATTAGGGATATTGTACAAATAAATCATTATTCTATTAGATAAGATAAGTTTGTAATTGCTTCTAAAGAAGGAGGGAATTAAAGATATTGTACAAATAAATCATTTGTATTCCAGTTTATATTTTTTGTTTTTATATGTGACTCAAGCTCCGTGTTTACCTAAGATTATAAGTGCCTATCAATATGATTATCTATTATTCAACATCATCTTCATCTTACTATCCTCCTATGTCGTTACAATTTAAAAAAACAGAATGATTACTTTTATACTCATTTATTTCTAACAAAATAAAATTAATACAAAATCAGGAATTTGTATTAAAATAACAAATAAAATATAATATATATGTAAAATATAATAGCTAATAAATATGTTAAAAAAGAATCAGTCAACAAGGGTAAATAAATTTATATTAAATAAAAAAAATTCCAGACCTAAAAAAGAAGGAAGATGTTTATATCGGAACATCGGGCCCCTTTATTTATACATTTTTTTCTGGGTGAATTGATACCTTATAGGGACAGACATGTAAAGATTTTTATAATAGTTCTATGTAGATATCCTGTAACATATTAATTATTTAATTAATATGGTTTTATAAAATAAACTTAATAATTATCACGGGATTGCATTCGCTATATTGTTTTCACGATAATAGTTTTCGCTATATTGCCTTCGCAATAATGAGTTCGCCATAAAATTTTGTTTCGCTGTTATGTATAAACTTAAGTTTTCACAATAGTTTCCCTAAAAAATTTGCGATATAGTCTTCTAGTATTCGCGAATGTGGACTCGCTATAAAGGTTTCGCTCTCACTAGAATAAATATTCGAGATAAAAGTATCTCCCTATAGTTTTGCCTATCGATATGGTACCTTCATTCACAATATTAAAAAATAGAAGTTATTGAGGTTTGCAATCGGCGGTTTAACCCGAAACCCTATGATGCCATTTTAAATTTTTTAATCCCGCTCATGGACTTTAAAAAAAACTTGACCCAGCTTATTTTCATAAAAAATTTTATCCCATCCAAAGTTTCAAAATTATTTGATTAATTGATTTGGCTCTATATTTATTCTATTTTGATTTAAATTTATAAAATTTGCATTATAAAGCAAAAAATTATTTTTAATGTACTTCGCCCGAAAGTTTTAAATTTACCCGCTCTCCCATTGTTTTAAAAATTATAACTGCCCTTTGTAGACTTCTAATTTAAAATTTGTATTTTTCGTTATATTAAAATATAAATTGGATATATTAACTTACAATGAGTAGATTTCTCCAAGTCTTTTAGTTCATCCTTACGAATTTTACTAAATTTTTTGCCCATTCAATTTTAAAACATTAAATTATTTTTTTTACAAAGATTTAAAAACAATATTAAACTAATAGTGTTTGAAATATCCTTCACTTTATTTTTTTGATTTACTTGTTATTTAAAAATTATTGAATTCTAGAAGTATGTCATTTTGATTAAATATTTCCAAATTTATAAAAAAATCTTATTAAAGTTATCAAATATTTATGAGAATAAAAATTGCTTTAGGGATTGTATTATATTTTGTCAATTTTTTTAAAATAAATTTATAATTTTAAATGAAAGTTGAATAAATTTTTTGACAAATAACAGAACCTTAGTCTTGATAAAAATTTAACATTTTGATATTTTAAGCTTGCAATAAATCTTCAATTCATAACGGGCTTAGAGGCATAGAACAATAAAAAATTTTTTTAGAGTTAACAGATACTTATCAAAATTAAGTTTATAACTAAAAACATTAAAGTTCAACAGCTGATATAATTTAAAAATTTTCTAGATTTAATCGTTAAAAAGCTACGGGATTACTTAACATTACATTTTCCGAGTGTTTTGAGTATAAAAAGAAGTGTAATGGCCTATATACTGAAACAAGAATAGCTTAAGAGGTCTTTAATTTATAGTCCAGACTTTAATCCATGTTTATCCTAAATACATATTTTTATCTTGATAATTTAGGTAACTATTTATATATAATATATTTATCTTATAATATTATTCATATTTAGTATAATAAAGGAATTAAATTAAGTGACTTTTGTTTAATTTAATAAAAGAAAACTTGCCCATCCCAATCGATTTATTTTTTAAATATACAAAAATATCCACAATATATAGATTGGCAGGGGTAATAAGATCACAAGTATTTTAAAATATAGCTGGTTCTTTTCTTAAATAATCAAAACATAAAGATTATATACATTATTTATCTTTTTTAAAATCTTATTCCAGAAAAATAAGGAAACTCTGATTTAATCAATTTTTTTATTTCTTACATTGTTATAAAGTAATATCTCAAAAATATGCTACAGGTATCTTAGACTAAAATATTATACATCAGTTTACAGGAATCTAAAGCATTTGTTTATTCTCGCTAGTTAAAAAAAATGGGGTTTGTTTATATTGCTAAAACAAAAATTAGGAATCCAGATTATATTTCTTAGGTATTTTTTTTGCAATATTTAAAAAATATTAATATATGCTAGGGAAGTAGACTCTTATATTTAAATTGAATTATTTTAAAAATTGGGAAATTATGAGTTGTTAAAAGATACTTTTTAAATGGATCTAGATATAGATACGTCTAAAATAATATCTAGATACAGATTATTTAATCAAAAATCTATCTAGATACAGATACCACATTTTTATATCTAGAACAACTCTGGAAATTATTAAGATTACGAAATTTGAAATAATCTCCATTAGATTAACTTGAAACAAATATTATTAGTTAAATATGGATGAATAATAAAAATAATTCAGGTGTTGTTTGTACTTTTAGTCACTTGCATGTTAAAAATTATCTTTAAATCATTTGTAGGATAGAAGCAAGTTTCATTAATCGCCCATCAACCTTAGGAGTTTTATAGTTAGTGTATATATAAACGATGTAGGGGTTCATTTGCCTCCATATATTTTTAAATGGTTCGCATCTAAGGGGGTAAAATTTTTCTTCGCTATATTTGTAAGAATGGGGTGAATGCTTCGATATAACTTCCAAGGGTTTTATCTCATGAACATTAAGATTATGTTAAAAGGTATAGGTACGATGCTGGAAATAGATTTGCACATAACTTGTTCTAATTAATAAATTGTAAGCTAATTAATTTCAAATTCAGAAAGGGAGAATTTTCCCTTGATTCCCTACCCCCTGGCTCTGTCTATGTTCTAACTAGACTATGTTTTCTGTATATATACTTAGCAAATATTGTTTATATCAGAACTATCTAAATCTAGTTATCAGGTCAATGTAATTATAATAAAATTAGTTCTATATTTTAAGCATCATATAAGCTATAATTTCATTAAATTATATTGTTCATAGGCAAAATTGTTATTACTTATTTGCAAAGCTATATAATATAGTGGTTATAATCGCCAAAATATTTGGTTATATAATGATGGTTAAACTTGAGGATCAGAGAATTTCTACACCGGATAAAATTGTAAGAAAACCTATCGTTTTAGTGATACTTTTGATGAAATTCACAATAATAAAACTCAAATGAAGATATTAAAATTAAATGTCTCAATTACATGACATAGTATTAGAGATCTGCAAAAGTAAGCCCGGCCTGTATGGGCTTCAGGCCGGGCCTCTTTTTTTTAAAAAAAATCAGGCTCGGGCTGGGTGGAGCTAAATATTCTTTTAAAAAATTATGGCCGAGTTGGGTCGGTCCTTGAAATTTTTTTTAAATATATCTAAATTTATCAATTTTATGTTAAATTTTTTTATGTAAAATAAAAATATTTGATTTTATTTATAGAAACTAGACGCTATATAACATATATCTTTTATTTTGAGTAATTATAAAAATTAATTTCTATATTTAAATAAATTCGGGTCGGGCCGGTAAATTTTTTTAAAAATCGGATTTGTGCTAGCAAACTTTCTAAAAAAAATCGGATGTGTGCCAGGCCAACAAAACTTTTTTAAAAAGATTTTCTCCCAGGCTGGACTTGAAATTAAGCCCAATGCAGATTACTGCATAGTATATTAAATAAAAATAACTTCCAAACTATTAATTTAATATTTCTAAAAAAAATTAAGTAAACAATTGAATTTATGTTCCTAATAAAAAGGGTGTACCTTGAGTTTGGCATAACTTTTCAAAAATGATCATTTATTAGTGTAACTCAAAGATTATTTCAATTAAGGAAAATATGTTAAAACTAGCTTTAGGATTCCCTGTTGCAGTTTAATTTTTTTTATTCAAAAATTATCTAGTTGTTAAAATTAAACATTATATTAAAATATATAAAAGAACAAAATTTAATGAGGACAGAATTCATTCCTTAAACTTCTTGAAAATTATGATATTCTATTAGTCAAATCATCCAACTAATGAAAACCATGTTATAATCGTAACAACTGCAGAGTGTACTTTATCACAAGGTGTGCTAGTTGTTGAAACACTTGAATTTATTTTGGCTGATATTCAAGAGGATCATTGTCCGGCAAATTTGAATAAATTATTTTTATACATTATTAAGAACTATAAACTTTCAAAAATTTATAAATATTTTTTTAAATAAAATATAATACTATTGTATATTTTATTTTCAAAAAATATATTTTAGCGTTTTTTAAAATAATTCATTAGAATTTATAAAAAGTAATAATCTAATGTAGATAATATAAAAAAAATGGGGATTATAAAGCAGCGTCCGTCAGCCGCCGATCATTTTATCGGTGCAAAGATCTACTTTTACCACATCCTGTTACTCAGTCGATTTATTTATAATTAAAAATTATTTGGTAGAGTGATAGTATAAATAAATATATTTTTGTGATGATTGATTAAGCGGAAATTAATGTTTCAAAAAATTAAATAGCATATAGACTAAATAAAAAATATAATAAATGATTATAGTGCTATGAATACAATAAATTAATCTTGGAAACATTATTTTTCTATATTATTTTTATAATTAAATACCCTAAGAATAACATTTAACAATTTTTGCGACAATTTTTACTTATGTTTTCCAATAGCAAAGGAATTTTTTGCAATTTTTGTTTAATGAACAATGAGATATCATCAGATTTAGGATTTATTTCTCTTGGATAATGACTAGAATTAAATATATAAAGATCATAATGTTAAATATAAATAAACATATCATTGAATTATAAAAACATATGCATTCTGTTCAGCAAGTCTAAATTTAAATTTATCCCACAAAATACTTTAGAAACATGGATTGAGATAGCTACAAGAGCCAGCACTAATAAAAACATTTCAAGTTTCTTAAATTGCCTGTCTAAGATAATACTTGATGTTAATTATCATTCTTAATATATTTGTAGGCTAAGTTGGGCTTATTATATTTTTTATATTAACTGACATTTTTTAGACATTGGGGGCAATTTTTATCAGAGACCTGCAGGCCCGGCCCTAAACCCGGCCCGTATTTTAAATTTTTTAAATATACCCGGGCCGGGCCTGGCCTAAAAAAATTTTTTTTAAACATATCTGGGCCAGGCCTAAAAATTTTTTTTAAAAATATATCCGGGCCGGGCCTAAGATTGTTAAACCCAACCCGGCTTAATATTTTTTATAAAAATTTTTACATTATGAGTTAATGGTTATAAGATTATATTATATTATAGTTATGATTAATATAATATTGGGTGATGGTTAACACTACCTAACACCCACAGATCGATCTAATTATTAATTTCCTGCAAATTTATTCAAAGTATTAATATATTTTTTTATAATTCATATCTAAATTTTTACAACATATTTTACCAAAACAATCAAATAAAGGAATATCTTAAATAAGCCCCAATATTCAAGTATTATTAATATATTTTTTTATAATTCATATCTAAATTTTTAGAATATATTTTACCAAAACAATCAAATAAAGGAATATCACTTCTTGAAGTTTGTAATACCTTTCAAGGCGAAAAGGGAGAAATAAAATTGATTTTACTTAATATAAAGCATTTTTTAATTGAAAAATTTGTTTTACACAAGTATCATTTTATTTCTCCTTTTCTCTGTCCCAAATTCAAGCAATTACGTATGTAGTCAGGGACAGATCGCAAGATGACGGAAAACTATATAAAAGATTATATTAAATTACAAGAGGCTCAGGAAGTAAATGAAATACCATCGACCAATCAAATTACGACTGTTGTTAAACAAACTGAATCGTTTTATGACAAATGGGGCGATGGTAATTCTGGTAATATGTCAATACCCGATGATGAATATTATAATTACATAAATAAAAAAATAGATGAAACATTTAAGGTGGATAATTTGTTAGAGTGGTGGGCGGCTCATCAAAGCGAATTTCCAATTTTAGCAAAATTGGCAATTCCTGCTTCAAGTGCAAGCTGTGAGCGGAATTTTTCCACTACGAGAATTCTTGAAGAAAGAAGAAATAATCTTCAACCTGAAAAGGTAGATATGCTTCTCTTTCTTCTTGATAATTTGTGAATTTTTAATATCTTTCTTGAGTATAGGGTTTCGTCAATCATGCTGGTTTTTTACTTTGCAAACTGTCAAATATTTATTGCATTTATTATATTTACCTTGAGTCATGAAAGTTTTTAATCCAACATTTTTCATTATTTTTTTTTACAATATTATAATACAATTATCTTCTTTTGTTAAAAATTTATATTATAAAATTAATTATATTAATATTGTGCAATTAGATTATATTTTCAAAATACTATTTATTATACATACATTTTTTTAAATAGCGATTTATTTTTATTTTATAAATTAAATATAATATATTATATTCTCAAAATATTTTCCATTTTTATAAATTAAATATTAGTTTTATTTTTTTTAAATGCAATATAAAATATAGTATATGCTCAAAATATTACCATTTTTATGAATATTAGTTTTATTTTTATAAATGCAATATAAAATAAAGTATATGCTCAAAATATTCATTTTTATAATTTTTATAAATTCAATATAATATTCTCAAAATATTAGCTTTTTACATGTATTTTTTAAATAATAAGCGATAATACTCGCTGAAAAATATAGTGAATTTTTGTATATACCAGGTCGAATATAATTTTAAAAAATTCCGAGCCGGGCCTGAAATTTTTAAATCCGGGCTGGGCCGTAAAAATTTTTTAAAAAATATCCGGGCCGGGCCTAAAAAATTTAAAACCGGGCCGGGCCGTGCAAATGGTACCTCTGCAGGTCTCTGATTTTTATCATTATAATAAAGCCACAAAATTTAAGATACAAGCAAGATTCTGATAAGATGACAAATGTGCAATTAAACCCTTTGTAATACTAATATAAATCTCCTTCATTCCATATTTAAATGGAAAAAATTGTAATCTCTAAAAGTGATTTGAATTGTATCTTTATTTAAAAGAATATCGTAGTGTTCTAGGGTCATAGGCAATGCAGGAATAGCAATAGATTAATTAAAAAGGAATATAAGTGCCTTTTTTATAGAGCTAAAGGATTGCTCAATTCAATGATGAAATGGATTAGTAAATAAAATAACTGTCAAAGAATACCAAAAAAGGAATTAAAATACATATATGATAAAGGGGCCATTTTTTAGAAATACCTAGCATCTTTAGAGAAGTGATTCTCGTTGGTATCTATATACTTGATCCTATCCATATTATTTAAATCGATAATAAGCTGAATGCCATCTAAAAATTTGGCCGTTAACTTTTGACTCGTTGGATCAAACAAGCCCCAACAGGAACCAGGTATGTAAGCTGACACCAAGTCTTTGGTCGAAGGTATATTGTCTAATTTATACTTTGTAAAGTTTGAATTTTGGCTATTTATTGTTAAAGATTTGTCCTCATAACCTTAAAAATAGTGAATAAAAATTTACATCACATAATTTTATTCTCTTGGAACCATAATAAAGTTAATATAAATATAATCAAAATTAGTTGATTTTTTTTTAAAAAAATGTTAAAAAGTGACCTGTAGCCTCCAATTCCCGTTTTACAAAATTTTCCCATTTTCTAGACCGCCCAGGTTTATAATTTTAAGCTCAGATACTTATAATTTTATTGCTAGGGTTAGGAACCTGGGTCTACAAGTCTCTGATATTATTTTTATTAATAATTTTCTTGAAATATTTTTCTATAAATGGATTACATAATAAAATTCTATTTTTAATATAAGTTTTATTCATTACTGATATCCTTTAGTTTATCGTTAATATTTGACATTAAGGTTGAGCCCATAGCATTATTTGATGAAAACAAAGTCGAAACATTATTTGTATGAAACGGGTATTTGGATGTTTCTTTAAAAGGCTTTATATTTTATTAAATGATTTTATTTTTTAAAAAAATATCATAAAGTATAATCTAAGAAAATAAATATAATATTTTAATTGAAAAAAACTTCCTGAATACTTGTTCTCTCAAAGCAATTTTACTTATTATATAGAAAAATATTATTTGCAATCCAATCCAGTCTCCCATCTGGACCTTTAACTTTCAAATTGATTATGTTTATTTAGCCTAACCCTGCCTATTTTATTTTAAATCCGAGCCTGGTCCGAAATTTTTAATTACAAAATAAAAATTAAGCGCATTTTTACGAAGATAAATGAAGTAAAAAAAATCGCTAAATCACTTTTTTATATTTTTGCATTTATATACTAATTTTGATATGTTATAATTTTAAAATAACTAATATTTTATTTTTAAATAAATCTAAATTAACTAATATTTTATTTTAAAATAAATCTAAAATTAAAATTAAATTTTTGTATAAAATGTAGTTTCAAAATATTAAATTTCAATATTTATTTAAATAAGGACTAATTGAAATAATTAAGAAATATAAAGATCTTTATATCTCCTAAAATACTAATTAAAATGATTTTGTATGTTTATTCTATTAAAAAATTAATTTAGCTCGCCAAAAACCTATTTTTTAAAACAAATACAACCAATTTCTACTAAAATATTTTGTTTTTTTCCCAATATCGAAGAAACAAATGCCTGCAGGTATTTAGCCATAGCCGTCTTATGGCTATATCCCAATAAATATTTAGCTCACGAAAAAACATTAGATTATATTCAAAAAATACTTAACAACTAAACAAGACATGTTTTATATATTTCAAACATTATGATATAAAATATCTTATAAAATAGGTCACTTTAAAGGAGACATATCTATAAAGGTTTTCAATAGACCTATCCAAGGGTCCAAGCAAAAATTATCATTTTAGGGGAGGAGAATAAAGGAACTCAATTAATTATTTAATGATTATGAGTAATTTTAACTTGTTAGAAAAGATTAAATTTTACATTTAAATTAGAATTTAACAAACCAGAAATAATTTATCACTTGCCTCTTGATTATAACCATCAACAGTATCACAAATTGAGTTTCTATGAATAATTTTTTTGTCATCTTTCATGGTGTGAGCCCAATCCTTAACTCCACTGGGTGTCGGTATCGCTTCTTTGTTTATTCCTTTAAAAGTTGCATATCTCTTTGGGTTGGTTCCAATAATTATAGGGAAAGGAGCGGTATTACGATTGTTAGATATGCAGACATTAGTTGAAAGATCACTGTGCATTATAGAATCTAGGGACTTTTGAATTTTAAATGTGTAATCTCGATAAGTCATCACTTCGGATAAATCTTGGCTCTGATTTGTAATCTCTTCAATCGATTTTTTTTGAGATTGAGTGCTTTTTAATAAATGAGTTATGTCTCGAATGGATTGAGAATCCTTAGCGATGTATTTTACGGAAAGGTTTGATGTTTCATCTTCTAAAAATTTAGAGTTTGATCTTCGACGTTTATTATAGTCATTTGTCAGATTTTGAATTACGATGTATTTTGCACCTAATAAAATATGGTTTTTTTAAAAAAATTAAAAATGTAAATGAAGCATATTTTTATTATTTAATTATGTATAATTCTTTATTGTTATAAAGTTGGCAAGAAATATATTAAATCTAGAAAATTAACATTAACTTATTAATAACTAAGCATATACAGATAGTAAATTATTCAATTCGTTCAAAAGAATCGAATACAAATATTTAATTATTCGATTAGTATTCGTTTTTGAATATGCCTATTATAGTTATATATGAAGGTTTTCTATTTTAGAAATAAAATTAAAGCCTTTAGAAGGTTAATATCATAAGGAAATAATTTTCTTGATATTTTAAAAAATTTAGTCATTTATATAATAGTTATTTATACCATCATAAAAATTTGCTTCAAAGTCTTGTAATGGTAAATTTTCCATCAAATGACACTTAGCCCTAGGTGTGTATACGGTTATTCTAGGAGTTTTTGATTTCATAAGTTTAACGAACCTAATAAATAAATGATTGGGAAAAGGTTATTATAGTCAATAAATACAAAAAATTATCTATTTAAAATCATCAACGAAAAAAAGAATATTTTATCACTGGATGTAACCTCGATGTCAACAAATATTTCCTCCAGTAGCACCTAGGTAATTCGTTGAATTGATAAATTTTCCAACGAGAAGAATTATAGAGATTGTCGTTTTTTCTATGGACGATATTTAGTATTTCAATTTTATAGCCATCGTGAGAGACTTTAAAAATTTCCTGTAGTTCGTATCTAGAATCAGGTAACATGCCCATATATTCTAAACTGACGTCACCACCAGGTAATATGGACATCTTAAATATAGATTTTAAAATAATCATAGTTTATAAATATTGTACTAAAAAAACATTATCTGGTGTCTCCTATTTTGGAAGGAATATTACTAGTGCTGTAAAGTAACGTCGTTATTTTTTTGACAAAATGGAACTCCATTTGTTACTTGTTTCAAAAGGCAACGAGTAACGCATTTCTTTTTTATGAGTTTGTGAAATCCTAAATATTTTTCGAAATTGACCGAATTATTTTTACTTTAAATTCCGTTGTTTTGGTAATAGTTGTAGAAGGGGATGGTATAATTTCTACTTCATCATTTCAAATCATTTATATGTCACCCTCATCAAATAACAAGTCAGAATCAGAATTCATATATATATCTGTCTGATTCATTGGTCATATCAAATATCAATTGAAAATAAAGATGCACATAAATAATGAATAAAACATTTAAACAAAATTTTAAATCAATAAATTTAATTGAAAATTATTTATTATAATATATTAAATATAATATTATTTGTTACATTCCAAAAATATAACTACAATTTTTAAATGTAACTAGTTAGTTTTTACAAAAATTTACTCGTTAATTGTAACGAGATACTTTAACAACACTAATAATATTGTTTAAATTATAAGGTATTGTTTAACTATCGGTTTATGTAAATAAAAGAATATATTATTTGTGTTATGATCAAAATAAAATGATTTTCAAAAAAAAAAAATTGTTTCAATCTTAAAAAAGTATATTATACCACGATATTTTTATTTCGTTGTTTGAATGGTTTAAGTCGCTCGGTGTTTATGGGTTCGGTTATCCAACCTAATCGTTCTCGCTTATTTGGGTTACTACGGTTACCTCTTTCGCTATTTTCCTGATCATCAAATCTATTCATTTTGCCGCATATCTTGATGTTCAAGTCAGCATTATTAGTAGTGTCTCGCAATACTTTAGTATCTCCATCTTGAATAGGGTTTAAATCAGAAAGTTTCAATCTTTTTTTATCGTTCGTGATTATGTCATGGTTATTCAAGTGTTTGGTTTGATTTTCCTCTTTATCAGTTGGTTTTTCATTCAAACGCAAGTTCAAATTTTGCAGCTGTTGTCGAAGATTATTTACAAACGTGTTCGGAGATAAGCTCTGATTACTTTTGGGAATAAATATATAAAATTGATATTATGTAGAGGTTCAATCAATATTAAAATCCCATATTTAATATTTATGGACCTAAATTTATTTCTCTAACCCTTGAGAGGATTAATTTTCATTACAAATTTATATGATCGTTTTAAAATCTCTCATGTAGATACCTCAACAAACATGGATTGTAACACTAAAAATATTAATTAAATATTTTTGTTGCGAAATCAAGGGTTTTATAACACTATTAACATTGAGCGATATTGATATCAATTTTCAAAATTAGTGATTTGGATTTTTAAGTGAAAAGTTGGCCAAAATTTTGTTTTTTATAATGTTAATAATTTTTTTATATTCAATGCTATTTTGATCAAAAAAATTTATTATTTTCTATCACTAAAAAATTGGTGCCTTAAAAATAATGTTTCCGCTGTTCGGCAAGTTTAACGGAGGTGATGACAGATATTAAAATTAATTTTATACAAATTTTTTAAAAGTAACAAAAATATTATAAGATTAATAAATGTTTAACCAAAAATCCATAATTAACCCAAGACTAAAAAATTTCCCCAAAAAGAAGAAAGAATATAACTTTATATAAATATGAGTGAGATAACAAACACTAACTTTCGTGTTACTTATTCCCCCACATATCTTACCACAAGGGAAGAGAAGGAAGGAAAGAGAAATTGTAAATATACTTAAGTCAAATGGGATGAGGCTTATCTAAATTTTTAATGTCTATTTTATGTAATATTGGATCTTACGTTTCATTGTAATTTGTTGAGATTCCGGATAAAGATTTCACAAAAGAGGGCGAATTTTTGATGGTACCAAGGTTAGTCTAACATTTATATGTAGGCAAAAAAATATTTTAAATGATATTTAACAAATAGAATACTCTGTAAAAGCAGAAATAACGAGATTCTACACTTCTTGGTTGGATATAAAAAATTTACTAAAATTCAAAAATACCTGAATTGTCTAAATGATAAAAAACTAGCCTATCCCTAACATAAAATTAGCCTATTACGTAAAAAATAAAATCGCTAATCTTAAAATAGACAAAATATTCATCATTTATATAAATAAATATTATAATTATACTGTTAAAATCACCAAATTACCTGCCTATATTAAAAGTATTCCAAATCTTGAATGTAAAAAGTAGACATAGGGATGGAGAAAAAACGTTTATAGGTAAAAAAAAAAGATAAAAACAAACGTTGCTTTTTTAAAATTTAGCTACTAACTATTAAGCATTGTACTATAATGTCGTCATACGGAGTTTGAAAATCCATGGAAATTCGGGATTTCTGAATTTTAAATCAGGGCAATTTTTGTTTTTCCTTAACTGAAGATATATTCCAGCCTATAAATTTTTTGATTCTTTAAATTAAAAAGTCGCCCGTCACTGAATGCTTTAAAATTGAGAGATTTGTAACATTTCATAAAATTTTAAGCCTGTTAATTAATTATTTTTTTAAAACCATTATAGGGGTTCCTGATCCACGGTAATTAATATATAATAAAAAATAGAAGAACATATTTGTATGCCAAATATTTTTTTCCCTTGGAGTTTGGATCCATCACCTATGTTGAAAACATCTAAGTCCATTTCAACCCAATTTTGTAATTTACACCCCCATAATCAGGGATCCAAACCGAACCTGAACCGAACCATTAAACCGCTAAAAACTGGTATTTTTTATTGAACCTGAACCGAACCTAAACCGCTAAAAAATTTCAGCCGAAACTGAACCAAACCGCTAAAATGCCTCTGAACCGGTCCGAGTCTCATTTTTATGCTTATAAAATAATTTGTAAGTTATTATTAGATTTCAATTATATTCGAGTTATTTTAAAGATTATCATCAATCACATTTGATAAGTGTCTGTCACAATTTTTATAAATTTTAGTATATTGTCATTTTACAACATTATTTAAATATTTTAAGCTTATAAATTATAATGCTTAGAGAAAAATTAAATCCAAAATATTATTATAAATGACACATCAAATCTGATATCATGGCTACCCAAGTTAGTGTGGAAAGATGTTTCAACAATTAAATTTATGCTATCTCCTTGTAGATGTAATTTGAGTGAGATGAATTTTGAAAATATAATAATTGAGCTGCTTAATAAAAAAAATTTAAGTAAAAAAAGGAAAATATTGTTCATATTAAAATTAATCATTGATATATATTTTTATTTTTATGTGCAAATAATAAAAATGAATTTTTTATATATGTGTTTTTTAAATTAATGATAAAATAAAAATATCCCTATACATAATTCGAATGTAGGTTTGAATACAAATCTGTTCAAACCGGTTTTTAGAGGTTCGAACCGATATTTTAATTTTTTACGAACCGAACCTGAACCGTTATTTTTATCCGAACCTTAACCCGAACCGAACCGATATTCGTTTCGGATCCCTGCCCATAATACGGACCCAAATTTTAAACTTGGATCTCAATCGTTTATTTTTCGTCAAATATTTATAAAATTTATTTTTAAAAAAAACTAATATAATTATTTTAAAACTTGATCTCTAATTAACAATTTTATAAGTTATTATTAAAAAATTATTTTCTATATTAAACATTTTTTAACACAAAATAATTAATCCTTGTTTTTTTCATTTAATAATAAATAAACACTAATTTAAATTTATATTCAAATTAGAGCATATTTAAAAATTTGGGATGAATTGATTAAAAAATCTTTGACATCTCAATCGAGAGGGAAGCTAAATTTTTCTGTAAGATTTTTTTTAAACTCCTGAGTTTCTATGAACCCCACCTAAGCTCCCATAGTTTAATTTATCAAGTTATTTTATTAACTAGTAACAAAAAATAGGATCATTATTGAAATCGACATGTGTTTTGATTATCAATTTTAAAAATAAATGAAACTTTGTACATTATAAATAAATTGTAAATTTTATTTAAATTGAACATTCAAAATTATAGACTATCTTTCCCAGAATAGGCCTTCAAAACTGAAAATTTTTCTTAAAATTATATTTTCCGAAGAATAATTTTAGGGGCTAAAAATTGTATATTATTTGTGACGTTTCCAACATTATTTTTTGATTAATTTGAGAATCATTAAAAAAAGATTTTGAAGATACATAACTCCAGATCTAAGTAAGTTAGAGCTCTAAATTTTGATTTGGGTAATTTTTATTTCCCATTTAACCTATGTACAAAGCTTCATTCATTTTCAAGTAAGATTTTCGAAAGTCATATTTTTGGATGATTTATCATGGAATGACCCAATATCAATTTAAATTTGTTCATTGTTTCAAAAAATATCAGTGCTGTGAATTAACGTCAAAAATTTTTTTAGAGGAAAAGTAAAGTGCGATAAATTCTAAATTATTCTGCAGAGAAGAGCAACATGTGGTTGGAGCTGGATTTTGAATCACTTCTTATAGAAAATTTATTTTTAGTCATTCCATTTTTAAACATAATTTTTTTATATATCCATAATTCTTATAAAATTATATAGTATATGTTTTTTTATATATATATTTTGGTTATTTTCAAGATATAAATATGTATATTACAAATCTTTTTGAATTGAAATCGAATTTATATTAATTAATATGAGCTGAGTTTTCAAATCAAAAAATTATAACATATATCTTATAAATTTTAATTTTTATTTTGCAATTTATAAATACATAAAACCATTAATTATATTTTTCCATCATGAATATATATATATTTAGTTTTGCCTACCATTTTATCATTTCTTATTCTATTAAGCAAGATTTCAATTATAAATATTAACTTTAATTTCATGATTGCTAGAGTATTCATTTTCTTCAAGGATCGATAATTTAGGGGTAAAATTTAATCTTCTAAGGCCATTTACCTTTTTACCAACAGGATTATTGTAAATGTCATCACTTTTTTTATAATTTTGTTTGGGTGCACATTGGTCCGGATTTAGGTTTAAAGATTTTTGAGGCAAACGAAACTTTATTTTATGAAAATACACATTTATCTTTATAAATTTGTTAATATAAAATTTCCAGAGCTTCCTTAAAAAAAAGAAGTTCCTCCCCGTTTTTTCTTACCACTCTCCTCTTCCCTGAAGTCTGGCTCTAGACATAACCGAGCTCTCAAAACTTACCGTTTATTTCCAATTCCGCCTTTTCTATTTCTTTCTTTCTTTCAACATGTTTTATTAAATATAATAAACATAAATTTAAAAATAAGATATGTAAAATGAACGTATAGTAAAGAAAACCTTTCTAAAGATCATAGTAGAATCATTCACATCGCTTTTTGAGGAAGAAATTACATTTGTTATAAAGGGATGTTTCAAGGCTTCTAAAAAATTATAAATTTAGTTCATAGTTAATTTATTTATGTATAATTTTTATATAAGTAGTAGATATTTTTACCTTCTAAATTAATCCTAGAAGAAGGTTCAGTCCTCAAAAATCGGTATATCAAATCTTTAGCATTGGAACTTAGGTATGCAGGAAGAAAGAATTTACCAGATATAATTTTGTTGAAAGTTGATTCAATATTTTGGGTATCAAATGGGGGTAAGCCACAAAGCAAAGTATACATAATACAACCCAAGCTCCAAATATCTACTTTCATACCATGTGGGGAATTTAAAACAGTTTCCCTAATAATTTCAAATTAGAAATGGTTTATAGGGTAATTAAAATAATAGAATATATAATTGCTATGTTTCATTATTTATCTTGAGAAAAAATATATAATTTATTTACCCTCTATTGCATGTATTAAAAGGATATGTCATCACAAAATATAGATATGTAAAATCAATTTTTTTTAGCCTGAGCCTAAAAAAAATTATATTTAGGCCTAGCTCATGATCAAAATTTAAAAAGAAGTTTATAGGGAAGTAATTTTAAACTCAAAATATTTATTTTATTCTCAATTTTAATATATCACTAAATTTAAATATTCACCAACAACTTTAAGAATATCTATTAATTATAAAATGTTATATAAAAAATTATTAATTATTTCCCACCACCTGAATTTATTTTCTATCATACAAAAAAAGGGAAGAATAGGAAGGAAATATAACATTAAAATTTTTAAGCCTAAACTGAGACCTGGCCCAATGGATTGGCCCCAGGTGGCCCTAACAAATTTTTATGTAAAATATTTAAAGCAATATTTCAAAAGGTTATAGAGAGCACACTAATAATATCAAAGTTTTGAACTGGATAAAAAGGGCCCCAGTTTCAAATATTTAAAAAGGGTGTGTTTGATTCCTACATTTAATGTTCTAAGAGTTCTTCCAGGTTCAGGTTCCAAAATCTGTTTAGACAAACAAAAAATATTTAAACATTAATTAAACTCTCCAAAATAAATCATATAGTATTTTAAACAGGGATGTGAACCCGGACCCTCGTATTTTGGCTGAACCTGGACCTGGACCTTTTTAAAAAGTGGAGGGTCCAATGGTTCAGGGTGTTATAAATTTATAACTTAAAATTTTTTTTTTAATTAATGTAAAAATATAATTTTTAAAAAATAATATAAAATTTTTATAATTTTATTAATTTTTTTCGTGGAATCTCCCTAAAAAATAGTCACTTTAAAACTATAATTGATAAAGCAAGGGATGTTGTAAAATATTTAAGAACTCCCATAATTGTTAGAATATTAAAATCTATGAAAAGGTAAATGGCAATTTTAGATTGCACAACACGTTGGTCCTCTATGTGTATGATGCTAGAGCGATTATTAAGTTTGAAAGATTTCTGTAATGATTTTATCATAGGAGCATGTGAAATCATTTTTTCAGAAGATGATTGGAATTAGTGTGCTGGTTCCTTTAAAAATAACAACATTAAGAGTGCAAGCTGAACAATTATGTTTATCGGATTTTTATGGCATATAAGATGTCGATTAGAGTTAGGGAGATTAACAAGTTCTTTTTCAAATGAAGTATTAGAAAATACAAAAATAAGAGAGCAACAATATTTACAAAATAGTGTTGTATATGCTTCGATATATTTAGACCCGCGATATCAGGTTTTATTAAGTAGTGAGCAAAAACAAATGGCTATAGAACATCTTGAAGATTTATGGCATACCCAAAACTCTATTATTTACAATACATTGGTGGTTACAATATCTACTGGTTGTAGCGATAACAATGATAATGATAACGATATTGATGGTCTGGAGATTTTACTATTAGATAGAGAAAAAAAAATTAAATTATCATCTGATAGAAAGGAGCAAAAAATATCTGTTGTATCTTTAATAGAAAAGTTCTCGGAAGTTATGAGAATAAATAGAGATGCAAACATTTTAAAATTCTGGGAGGAAAATTCTTCAATATATCCAGAATTATATACCTTTTCTAGAATCGTCATGGCTGTACCGGCAACACAAGTACAATAATTTATATATTATAAAAATGACTATCTATTTTAGGTAAGCGTAGAATGTGGATTTTCATTGTTGACTAATTTACGTGGAAATCTGAAGGATGAAATTTTAGAAGATATCATGATTGTGTGATTGAATAAAATATTTAAAATATAAATTATCTCATTTCGAATTATAAATGTGTATATATTGAAGTATAATAAAAAATGAATGAAAAAAAGTCTTATTTTGAGTCATTATTTTTATGTTTCCTCTGAACCCGGACCTTAACCCTGGACCTGAATCCTTTTTAAATTTATTACCAGGACCTGAACCTTGGACCCTTTTTTTTTGTCGAAGGGTTCACATCTCTGATTTTAAACAATATATATTATAATACTTGCATTTTTGTTGGAATCACCCAGAAATTTTTAAATGGGTTTGGTAGTTATGGTTTTTATAAATTTTAAAAGAGGATTCCATGTAGAGGTCTGCAATGAGCAGATTTTTAGCACACCCTTCTATATGGGCAAGCAAGTCCAAAAATTTTAAATATTAGGTTGTGATGGGGTAAAAATATTTTTAAAATAATGGGTAGGCAGTGAATTTATTATAATTTATGCATTAAACAAATGGATCATAAAACTATTTTCTTAATTTATAATATTGCATATTTTATAAGTTTAAGTAAATATACATTACAATAAAATAAAGAGTCTAACCAACCAATGAAAATAATTTAAATATTGAAACAAATTTTTTTAAATAGGTGGCAAGGTGGGTAAATTTTTAAAAAAAACTGAGTGAGCAGGGGAGTGAGATAAAAAAATTAAAAAATGGTTAGATGGGTGTTTGGGTTCAAAATCCATCTATTGCAAATCTCTAGTTCCGGGACGAATTACCAACTCTTGCTAACAAAAAAAATTTTTTACATTTTAAAAATCTTATTTTCCTAAAATTTCCATTTTTAAAAAATTCTATAATAAATGCTGTATTTATCATTGGAAAAAAAAATTAAAAAATTAATGAACAATTCAGTTTAGTTTAAAGAGTGTGAAAATATAAAATACTATATTTTTTGAGATAGCATGCAATAAAGGGTTAAGTTTCTATTAGTTTTTATTTATATAAATAATATAATAATTACGGAGAAATAAAATTTGGGGTTCCACACATAGTAAAATGTTTTTCATCTGGTTTTTTTAAGTGGATAGCTAAGCCAAAATCTGCAATTTTCTTGAATTTAGTTTATATTAAATACATTTATGAGTTTTATAATTAATCTTGAATTTAAAAAAAATGGACATAATTAAGAGCAAAAATAACATACCACATTTAAATTTTTGTCTAATAAAATATTGGAAACTGTCAAGTCACGATGAACTATTTGATGTGAATGAAGATAGTATACCCCTTCTAGAATTTGTTTCATAAAACGGCAAGCTTGAAACATTATTTTAGATCTAGTATAAGAATTATATTAAACCTTGATTTTCATTAACACCCTTTCCTGATGACTTATTGTATGCTACATATGTTCCAAGTTCCCCCATATGACACAATTCCAAAATTATATAAACATATTGTTTGTCCTCAAAATAATCATACAACTTAACAAAATAATTTTATATTTAATAGTGTATTTACTTCTAATAGTGAGGAATGTTTTAACTGTGAATGTATTTCAACTTCATTTCTAACTCTACTTATCATACCTTTGGCTTTCATGATTTTTTTATCAATCTTAATAAAATATTTTATAAATAATTTTGTATTTATATACCATTTTTATTGCTACTTCTTGTCTACTATTTTTATTAACTGCACGAAATACAGAAGCAAAACTTCCCTTTCCTAATATATTATAAACTTCATAATCCTAAAATATAAACAAATTGTATAATATTGTATACATTTAAAACCTTTATACTATTAATATTTGTCATAATATTTCATCGGTTAAAATTTCAAAATTTGCGCCATATGACATCATTCTATTTGAAAATGTCGATTTTTTGTTATTTCAGAAGACTTGTAACTTGTCACCTGTCTTATATGGTTTACTTTCCAAAGAAAATATTAACTTTCAATCTTTCTATCAATTAATCAATCTAATTCAATCTATCCTAATTTAATCTATAATCTAATCTAATTATAACCGATTTCTTTAAAACACTGCAAAAAATTGCGTTTAATTTCTGATGATCATCAGGTCAGGCAGTAACGTCAATAAAGAGGTCCATGCAGGGGTTCGATCCTCCTAAAAAATTTGAAAAGCCCCCTTAATAAATTTTTTAAATGGCTACCTAATCGCCCCTTGAATTAAAATAAAAAATTTTGATAGCTCTCTAGAACGATTTTTTTAAAAATTCTATTAAATTAATAATATTATATTAATTTTTATTAAACCAGTGCTATTAATTATTTGATTAATACTAAAAATTATATTTTCACTATGCTAACAACAATTATAATCAAATACTGTGTTAAACTCAATGATATATATATCATTGGTTAAACTGGAATATCAATATCACTCATAGTTATAATTAATTAATATTTCTTTCGGATTATAGATTCTATTTTCATATTAAAGAATTATTAGTTTTTAAAATTCTATATTAAATAGATATTAAATGTTGAACATGGATTATTATTTTATCATAAGGTTATTATTTAGCGAAAATTTTGTACCTTACATTCATTAGATTAACACCATTTTTTCATTTAATTGTTTAATAGATTTTTTATATATATAAAGGATAAATTTATTATAGTTTTTTAGTTAATTTGTAGTTAAACATTTTAAAATATAAAGAAATTTTTTTAATATCTAGCTTTACCCCCTGCTTACTTTATATGGTGGGAGCGGAATCCATTTTAATATCTTATAAATTTATTTATTTTGTACAAAATATAATTTAGATTGATCAAATGGTTAAATCAACAATGAGGAGAATTGTTAAACTAGATATCAACCTAAACGAACTAATTAAAATTGGGCTATGATGACTTACAAAATATTCTAAATCCACAGACAATATTACTTTAGCTACGGAAACTTAGACAACTGGATAAAAAATTCTGGAATGTTATATTTATTCTAAAAACATGTAAGAAATAATTAATTTGAAAAAGTAAAAAAATTTTATTAAAATTTTAATTATAAAATCTCTAAAATATTTAATAAACATATTCAAAAATAAACATTATGATATTATCTTTTCCTAAATATAGCGGCAACATGCAGTCTTATATTGCTGAGGCTGAAATTTTTTTAAAAGATAGTAAGCTCAACAGTAGTTGTGAGACTATGCTATTAACTGTTAATTTACCAGATAATATTTTTAGCTTAATAAGAGCCTGGTCGACAGATGAGGAGTTTGAATCTCCAGATGCTTTGCTGAAAAGGCTCAAATGGATATATAAAATTAATGACATAAATCTTATAAATAAAAATATTGAATTGAAACCCAATATTCAAAAGGAAAGAAATTCTTATAAACTAAAATAAATAAATTATATAATAAAATTTGAAACATTTGTGATTATAGAAAATAAGGAAATAAACTTTAAAGAAAATAAGAAAATAATCATTAAAGAAAATAATGAAATAAAAACTTGTATAATTGATAAAAAATTAAATAAAACTGTGAAATGTAAATCAATTAAAAAAGTTTTTAAGAATATGATATGGAAATCATATATTAGATATGGAAGGCGAAATAAAATTCTTTTTAGAAATGACAAAGATAATTTATGATATTAAAAAGTTGTTTATATTGAAAAACAAGGGAGTAAAATTTAAAAAAATAAAATAATTGAAATTTAATATTAATAAAAAATTATTATATAAAACGCTACAATTAAAGATATTTAAAAAAAATAAATAAATAAAATTGAAATTTAATATTGATAAAAATTATTATATAAAACGCTATTATTTAAAACGCAATATTTATAATATAATAAAATTAAAATTAAACGCGACCATCAATTCATATTATTCAATATTTGTTTAATTTATTCTACTTCAATTATTCATATTCAAATTCGATATTCATTAAATTAATTCTATTTCGATTATTCGGCGATTCTTATTCAATAATACATATATTCTAAAATTATTAAATAAATTATGATAATAATTAACAGAAGAATGACATAGTTGAATCACATACTAAACCGTTTTTTTTAAAGATTTGGAGGGAGCAAGGCAAGATAAGATTTTACAACCAAAATAACTATCATTTACCAAGACGAAACTATGACAGATTTTATGATCAATATAGATGGGAAACTCCTTGAACACAAAAGATTTACATCTAAAGAGAACCTAGGCGGGGTTCCTGTAGAGGGTGGAATGTTGAACATGGATTATTATTTTAATATAATGGTTATTATTTAGCGAAAATTTTGTATCTTACATTTATTAAATTAACACCATTTTTTCATTTAATTTTCCTGCCTATAGACTGCTGCCGTTTGAGTCATTGCTTCTTGCGGGTCATTTATTGATTTTCGACTGGCATAATACCTTCCTTTCAAGGTCCGAATGGTTGTTCTGCCTGCATACTTTCGGGTGGCATGGCGTTGAACGAATGTGGCAAATGTTGTTTTTCTCACAATATATTTTAAATTCTGTAATAATAAATAGTGGTCTATTGTCAGTAACAATACATTTAGGTACCCCAGAGGTAGCAAACCACTTTTTAATCTCGTTATTATCTTCTTCACCGATCTACCTCCAATCAGGTTTACTTCTGCTCATTTTAAATATGAATCTACTCCCACTAACAAATATAGACTCAACCGGTCCTGCAAAATCTAGATGTATACGCTCCCATGCCTCATTAGTAATATTCCATTAGTATAAGAATAGTTCATTACGTTTGGTCGGTTTTTTTGACACCCAAAACAAAGCTTTATATACCGTTCAATGTCCTCTTCACACTTAGGCAACAAACAATACAAACGAAAAATAGATTTAATCGTGTTTATTCTAGGAGGTCCCCGATATATTCTCTCCAACCTTGCATTCTTAAGTTTAGTTGGAATTATTAATCTACCATTACGTTCAACTATTACGCTGTCTGCTGTTAGTTCTTCTCTCTAGGTATGGAAAATTATTAAATCCCGTTCTTCCTTCCAATCAAAACCTCTCCGACCTTGTTTATTATGTCTTGCCAATCGTTTAAGTATTGGATCTCATACCGAATTCCTGCATATCCTCTTAATTGTTATTACTAATCGCCAATACATGTTTTGTATCTCGATTCGGTATAATATAGTGCAACGGTAGCCTAGATAATGCATCGGTTAGATTCTCGTGACCCAGTATGTACCTCATGTTAAAATCGTTGGCTGTTATATTCCAGGCCCCGATGCAGACATTTTAAAATTAGTCAGATGTTGGGCTTCATTTTTGCCGGAGATATTTACATTGTCTAAATACACTCCATTCATCGGGCAGTCACTCAAAAATTGTCCATGAAATGCTGGAAAAGGTTAAAATATACTTCGGTATCGAAAATATTCCTTATGTATCGAGATCACTAAATATGATTGAGACTCTGGCTCTACGACCATTTGTATATACGCATCCTTTAAATCTATCACGGTAAATCGATTTCCCCCTGAATCTTTACCAGCAAGTCATCCAACGTTGTAATAACATGATGATCATATAATAGAGGCTATTGTTACTTGCAACTATTGTTGCATTTAAAAAATTATAAAAAAAGTAAAATTTTCATTTTTTAAAGAACGCATGTTGTTTTTTTTACCATTAACAATATTTATTTATTTCAAAATTATTTTATTAAAAATTAGCTCTCCATTTTTTTTTATAATTAATTAAAGTTAAATATGATCGAATTAAACCCTACTAGAAATTGTGAAATAGATACTATTGCAGGTAAGAAATATATTTTTTTAAGCCAAATATTTTTTTATGGTATTAGTCCCTCCTACGATCGAATCAAGCCCTACTGGAAATTATGAGATAGATACAACTCTTGCAGGTAAAAAATATTATTTATTATTATTAGATACCTTTTGTAGTAAATGTTAGATATTCGTCATTCTTCATTTTAAAAGAATGGCTAAATAAATACGAAATTTCTAATGCGACAAATTATTCAATACACCGTTCTAAAAAATCGAAGGACCCAATACTTAAGTCTACAATAATGTACGAACGACTTTATTACCAATGTTATGAGGGCAAGGTCAGACCATCCAAATCAAAAGGTTTTAATTTTTATTAACCCTTCAATACTCCAGTGAAAAAAATGACGTTAGTACTCCGGTGAGGTTTAATAGACCCCAATTTCAAATGTATATATCTCCAGTTATATTCATTATTTTGATTTAATATTTGAATATAAGATAGAACTAACCTTAAACTTGTTATGATTTCAGGTTTTTGTTGGTTATTATCAATATTTTTATTATGATGGAATGTTGATAGCATTATGACATTTTTTCTTTTTTTTGGAACATGATAATAATGTTATGTTTTCCTGAAATCCATTTTGGCTAATTTTAATTTGCCTAAATAATACTTAACGGAGTATAAAAGGGTTAAAGTATATATTAAAATTCTTTAAAGGAAAAAGACAAAGATTGTCTGTCAAGAAAAATTGTTTATCCAGAATTTCTTTTGCCAAAGATGGACCATATCTAAAATGTATCAGTATACATGATATACATAATCATGATAGAGGTTTTATTATTTTTAAATGTATATAACATAATTTATTTATAGATCTATCTTTGTTCATGGCAACTTGCCGGCAAAGACAATTGGATGGTGATCAAAAGTCAATAATTCACCAAGCTCTTAAATATGATGGAAATCTTACATTGATACATCAAGAAATGAAAAGAAAGAATTTAAATATTGTCATTTCACAAATTGCATTCAAAATTATTATAATTGTATCTATTTTTATTATAATAATATATTTAAATAGTGTAATCATATTTAAAATACAAATGTTATGAAAAAGAAATAAATATTTGCTTAAAAAGAGTCTCAATTTATCCAGTTTATTGTAATGCTTATAGTATAAAAAGAATTAAGATATAATCTATTTTGTTTTTTTGGTCATTTTCATGGAATTATTCTGCTGTTATCTATTTTTAGTGTTAAACTAAATATATATTGTGAAAATTAGATTAAACATGAAAAATATTAATTAATTAGAAAAAAAACATATTTATAATTTATAGCTTAATAAAAATATTTGCTTATGAAGAGTCTCAAATTATCCAGTTTATTGTAATGCCTATAGTATAAAAAGAATTAAGATATAATCTATTTATCTAAGTTTTGAGTTGTTTATTTAATCATTTTCATGGAATTCTTCTGCTATTATCTATTTTTAGTGTAGACTAAATATATATTGTAAAAATTAGATTAAACATGAAAATTTTAATTAATTAGGAAAAAAACATATTTATAGCTTAATAAAAATATTTGCTAATGAAGAGTCTCAATTTATCCAGTTTATTGTAATGCCTATAGTATAAAAAGAATTAAGATATAATCTATTTTGTTTTTTTGGTCATTTTCATGGAATTATTCTGCTGTTATCTATTTTTAGTGTTAAATATATATATTGTGAAAATTAGATTAAACATGAAAAATTTAATTAATTAGAAAAAAAACATATTTATAATTTATAGCTTAATAAAAATATTCTTATGAAGAGTCTCAAATTATCCAGTTTATTGTAATGCCTATAGTATAAAAAGAATTAAGATATAATCTATTTATCTAAGTTTTGAGTTGTTTATTTAATCATTTTCATGGAATTCTTCTGCTATTATCTATTTTTAGTGTAGACTAAATATATATTGTAAAAATTAGATTAAACATGAAAATTTTAATTAATTAGGAAAAAAACATATTTATAGCTTAATAAAAATATTTGCTAATGAAGAGTCTCAATTTATCCAGTTTATTGTAATGCCTATAGTATAAAAAGAATTAAGATAAGTTTTGAGTTGTTTTTTTGGTCATTTTCATGGAATTCTTCTGCTGTTATCTATTATTCGAAGAAAATTTAATAAAAAAATATTGACTTTAATTAATTATAAAAAAAAATGGAGAGCTAATTTTTAATAAAATAATTTTTATTTATGAAAAAAAATATATTTATTTATAAATAAAAAAAAAATTATTTTGAAATAAATAAATATTGTTAATGATAAAAAAAAACAACATGCGTTCTTTAAAAAATGAAAATTTTACTTTTTTTATAATTTTTTAAATGCAACAATAGTTGCAAGTAACAATAGCCTATAATAGATAAGGATTTATACTAACCTTAAATTTATACGAATCTCACCATTGTTCTTCATTGCATTTACCGCTAGGGTTATCCATGACATTCTTGTTGTAGAGGAATCGATTGGCTTCAAAATTTTCGTAGCAACAATTCAATCTAGTTATCAACCGATCTGTATAGCGGAAAGGGCACTCGGCGATCTGGAAACGATTTTTGAAGCTATCTTTCAATTGGAGTCGTACCGCAAAATTACGTATCAACTCCGGCTTATCGTCAAAAAAAACGGCTTTGAACTGTTTAGTTAACAAAGGCCCTATTGGGTCTTCCATCAGTGACATTCGCAGTCCGGGGAGGGGGCACCGATTGTATTTGAACGGCCCATCGGGACATCGTTAGACTCTCGACTTGATAACATTGGTCTTGAATGGCCCAAGAAATCCCATCCGTTTTAATAACCTGTTGTATGCTTGCCTGTCTAGGTAATTCAAACTCAAATGCTAAAATCCATGGCAATAACTGATAATTTACGAATTTCCTTTACTTGTATAGCCATGGCATCACCCAATAGATCCAAGGCACATCTCCATAGGATGATAATGGATTTGTGGGAAAGGTTAGCGGATTACCAATTTTCTCCCAAATATTCAATCCTATAATAGAGGCTTGTGCTCCCGTATCATAGTCGAAAGTGACACTAAGTCCATTTATTTTGGCTTTTATTTAATCCACCTGTCCAAAGATTATTTTTTGAATCACTTAACTGAGTTTAAATTCTATACGAGCTTAATATGGCAGCGCGCTGTGAAGTGTCTGGTTCTTTGGCATTTAAATCATGTTTTGCCTTTAGCTGGGAATAAATATTTTTCATGCCAGCCAGCACAAATTTTTTATTTATTATCGTAAAATATGCTATAGAGCTTCCTATAATTATTATTATCTCTCTTAACACACTCTTATGAATTAGGTATTTTATGTTTATCACGTTGCGGCCTGATTACACTATTCGCAAGGTCTTTCTTAATTGTCATTTTGTTCTGAGCTCTTTCAATTGACGTGGCCATATCTAGCACAAACTGAAACGCAGCGATTTTTTGTTCACATCCAATGCTTACGGACATTTAGCCCATTCGAGGCCTGGTAGGTCAATACCTGCATCCAATTTATTTCTTAAACAGCCGGCAACTTCTGTCGGCGTAAAACAACACGCTTTGGCAGTTACTTTGATCCTATTGAAGAAATCTCCAATTGGTTCATTGTTGTTCCTAATTAACCTTATAAAATCTAATTGACTATAAAAGTTGATTTTATTTTTCCAAAAATTTGTAGTGAAATACTTATCAGCTTATCAAATTTAGTCCATGGAATGGTTTCATGAAATAAATATTTTTCGAGAATGTCAATGCCCTCAGCGCCAAAACTTATATACAGTTCTTCTCGGTCGATGTCCAGAACCCGCTAGATCAACCCATTTACCAGGAATTCCGATCTTATCTATATTTATGACATTATTGGTTTTGGCTTGAGGCATAATTTTTAGAAATTAATGATCTATTTTATTTGTTTTAATTAGAATACTAGGGTCCTTAGATTGCACCAATAAACTAATCCACTTATACTAAACTATACATGCACAAGTTTATTCAAATACATTCCCATGGTTGTTAATCATATGGAACCGATTACGGAAATTATAGTTATAATAATTGGTGTTATAGGTGTTAGTTAGTTAACTTCACCCAATATTATATTATTATAAAATATATATATAATCATTATAACCATATTTAATTGACTAATATAATCATTCATAATGTATAATTAGTATATTTCAAAATATTCCAACATTACTACAAAAAGTATATTGAATAATTAGGCAAAAAAAGAATATTTTTTATCACTTTTATAATTCTTTAATTGTAAAATTTATTTATATTTGAAATCACAAATATTTAATGCTCTTTGATATTATAAATTATAATATATATATTCTTTAATCGGAAATATTTAAGACTATAATAAATAGATAAATATTTTGTATTAGAAAATATTATCTTTAGCATACCAAAGTCTCTATTGTTTTACTTATTATATATATGCTGTAGTCTGTATGCATAATAAATGACAAAATATGAAACTTGAATATTAGTTTAGAATTTGACTCTTTCAATTTAAAAAGTATAATATAATTTTTATAAACCTAACCGTAAACCGGGAAAAGAGGGCGAGCTCCCAAAAGAGAGGGTATGGGAGGCTAAGTCCCGTCTCAAATTTATCTAGTTGAACCCCCAGGAGGCTAGTATGCGCTTGTCATCAGGAATTCTTTTATTTAATAAAAAGCTTAATTTTATCAACGCTAAATTTTAAATTTTCTTTTTAACCTTTATAATGAAATTTTACCGACAATAAGTTCTATAATTATTCTATTCAATATTATCTTTTTTTTCCACAAAACTATAAAAAAATATAGTGACATGTTACAAAAAAACTATGTATATGTTAAAAAAATAAATATTCATAAAATTATACATAATCAAAAACAAATAATAATCATTACATAAAATTATTTGACATGGTAAAATAATTGAGAAATGCAGGACACAATGTATATAAATCCCTGGTGTCATAACCTCGAGGCACCTTATATCGTTTTTATTTGTTAAAATATAATATTGCCAAAGGTCATCAATAAGTGAACCTAAATACTCCCAATATAGTTTATGGCATAAACCCTCATTAATAGTGCTTTCCTTCTCTAAAGGAAACTGGATACATATAAGAGTTTATCTATCTAGGGTAGATAATTTAGCTATTTATTAAAATATAATATTGCCAAAGGTCATCAATATGTGGATCTAAATACTCCCAATATAGTTTATGGCATAAACCCTCACTTAATAGTACTTTCCTTCTCTAAAGGAAAATCCTGGATACTTATAAGAGTAAATATCTATCTAGGGTAGATAATTTAGCTAATAATTGATAAGACATTGTTAAAGTAATAGTTAGACTTGTTTCTTTTTTATCTTATATATACTTCCGAGAGTTTGTTGGGTAATCTTTTTATTTATTTATGAAGAGGCTGCTTAATATTCATAATCGAGCAAAAATTGACATATCCTTCGCTAAGATTGAAAAAATATCATTGTGCTTAGAATAGTAATCACGGGTAGGAAATTAATAATTTACTCCCTTTACTACATTTTTTATATCATGTCGGGATAGATATCTAATGTGTGTGTAATTTTTTTGATTTATTATAAATAATTGTGTAAAATGATATAAATAAATGTTCATGAATGTTTATAAATTAAATGTTTAAAAGTAAGTGTTCTGGTGATATTAAAATCTCTTTAAAAGAAAGTTGGTTCCTCTTTACGCCTTATAATTCTTCCATCTTACAGGATGTTGATATAAAAATGATAATTTAGATTTGACTAGAGAAACGAGTATATATATTATATTTTAAAAAATAATATAAACTAATTGATGATCGAAACTTTGCTTATATCATTTCAACTAAAATTGCCAAAAAGTGCCAAAGGATTAAATTTAATATCAAATACTAAAATTATATAATAAATGTGCAAGCTTAATAGTAAATTAGAAAATGTAATGGTAATTTAGAAAATTAGTAGGAAATGTGCAAGCTTAATAGTAAATTAGAAAATGTAATGGTAATTTAGAAAATTAGTAGGAAATGTGCAAGCTTAATAGTAAATTAGAAAATGTAATGGTAATTTAGAAAATTAGTAGGAAATGAGCAAAAATGCAAGCAAATTCAAAAGTGCTAAAGAGCGCCATAACCAAATTTAATAGCTAATACTCAATTATATAATAAATGAGAGAATATAATAGTAAATTAGAAAATATAATAACAAATTAGAAAATTTAATAGAAAGAAAAATACTACTAAATTAGCAAGATTCCGTTTCGCCTAAAAGTTCCAAAAAATTAATTTTAATTACAAATACTCAAATTATATGATAAATGAGCAAATACTTTATATTTAGGCGAAACGTTTTTCCATAGGAGAAATGTCTAAAGGCAAGGCGTACCACCACCATATAAGTCTTATCATATTCAGAGCTAATTTAAATAAAATATCATATCATTTCATTACCCAACGACAAGCTACTATAAGAAAACTTTTTAGTAGACCAAATATCTGCTGTAGTGCAAGGTTTCATAACTTTTTTAGCTATCAGTTTCATATTTGAAACTTTCATCAATTTTTCTTTGCAAGGATCTTTAAGAATTTCTATTAATTTGATATGGTAATCATTACTAGATAATAGTTATCAGTGATCTGCATCGGGCCTAATTTTTCAAGCCCGGCCCGACCCAAAAATTTTTTAAAAAAATTTACCGGCCCGGTCCGGCCCGAATTTATTTAAATAGAGAAATTAATTTTTATAATTACTCAAAATAAAAGACATATGTTATATGTCGTTTAGTTTCAATAAATAAAATCAAATATTTTTATTTTACATAAAAAATACAATATAAAATTGAGAAATTTAGATATATTTTAAAAAAATTACAAGATCCAACCCGACCCGGCCCGAATTTTTTTAAGTTCGGGCCGAGCCGGACTCGGGCCGGATACGGGCCGGGCCTAACTTTGCAGATCTCTAATAGTTATAATAAATTGACAAGTAGGAGATAAGGAATAGTGAAAACTATTTAGATTTTTACAAATTCTCTTTGTTCAATTATAAGTGAAAGATGAAATTATTTAAAAACAAAGGAAGTTAATAAATTATTAAACTTTTCCTGAGATATTGTTTTTTTTTTCATTTTGAGTAAATGTTTTTTTTGCAGTTTTCATCGTATTTTTTTTTTATTATTCTTTTCACTTCTAGAATATTCTTTTTTATATATCCTTTTCATTAATCATAAAAATTTAAATACTTCAAAATTTAACAGATGAAAAATATGATAGTGAATATGAATGAATATCATTAAAATGTCAATTAATAAAATTATATAATATATTCTTAGATGCTTAACGAAATTAGATAACGACTGCACTGCCACTTATAAATTTGAGGCAATCCAGAATTTTATTATTAGTATGTGCGTGTTGGTGACTTAAAAAATTTTCAATTTAATATGCTTAATCTATGTTTGGAAATGTATTTTCCTTGTGTAACATCATAATTTTCACTTTCCGATTCATTAATTATATCTTTGATAACTTGGTTCATAATATTTTGGGGGTAACAATGGATGTATGAATATTTCAATAAAGTATGGTAGTTGCTTAGCAAATTGCTATATGACGACAGATATCATTACCTTTCTTAAAATATGTAAACTCGGATTAAATCATCATTGAATTTTAAAACAATATCAATTTTAATAGTATTTAAATATTAACTATCTTTTTTAAAAAATATCCATATCTTTTTGAAT